TTCATCGATTTTCTTCCTCTTTTCTTGTTTTTTTGTTTTTTACACTCGATTTGTCGATTTGATTCTTTTGCTCCTCGCTGCTACAGGATGTTTGTCAGGACGCTCTGCAGGGTTCTGCTCTGCTGCTAGGGGGCGCTGTGTGCTTCAACAGCAAATGATTTCAATGATGAAATTGACTAAATCACTCTAACGAACGCTCACTGTCCTGTCAAAGAGACACATGAGGAATTATTAACTGATGATTTACTTGCCAAACATTTCACGTTTTAGACATTTAGCTTGACCCGATTTTTAAGGTCAAAGGTCACGCCGATTATCCCACATACACTGAAAAAAATTGTCGATCTTCTTACGTCGTTTTGGTCTTTACATTTCTTTAAATCGACTGACGGGAGAATATTTCTGCCTGTTCCTGCGGGAAAAAGATCATTTTACTGATTTCAAAAATATTGATCTTTAGGTCTTTATGAGGAAGTTCAAAAAGTTAAATTTACAAAATTTTTACTAATAAACAAAAAAAAATTCCAGACTAGTGATGGTTTTAAAATCTCTAATAATTAGGTTTATTTTTTAAAAACCAAACTTCATCTGAAAAACAAACATTTAAGTTGTTTGCTTTTTTTAACAAAGACCTGACGAATCCTGAATTTGAACTTTTTACAAATCTGCAGCCAGAAATAATCTATTTAAATAATTATCATGTTTCAACTTCAATCTTACATTTTTTCATTTCATTTATCTGCCATTTGCAGAAATTTCCACCTCTCTGAAAAAGTATTTTGTGATTTAAAGAATATCCAGAAATATTTTTGCTTAAATGTCAAAATGGCCCAAAAAAAATCAGTTTATAAAAGTATTTATGCAATCCAAATAGAAATATACGACACAGATCTGTAATTAAACCAACAATTCTTCTGCGGACGTATAAATCTCCTTATCTTTAAATTTTGCATTTTAAAATTGAACAGAACTGGAAAATCCTGAATTTACACTTTTTTCAAATCAGCATCTCACGACAGTTCATTTGGACTCTTTTGGACCTGTTAATTAAAATTTATTCATCTCTAATTTTGTACTTCTTATTTCTCTTTGTCCTTCGTTGCAGTGAGTTTTTGTAAAATGATCGTAAGGATTGTAATCACTTTGAAGAAATTCTGATTAATTTTTAACATTTTACAAAATCATAAACGCAAATTAAAAAAGTAAAATTGTTATAATTTGAAAATGAAACGTCACTCCAAGACTAAAAGAATTTCCTGTAACAAAGTTGTTTTTCTGTCTTTCTAACCGAACTCCCTCCAAAAGTTGTCAGAGTTGTTGGTTTCAGACCCGACAAATCCTGGACTTTAACCTGTTTCATCAAATCTGCATCATGATGTCGGTATTTCAGCATCTTTTAGGTGTGTGAACTGCAAATTAACCCGTATCTTTAATTTGTTCAAAATCAGGTGAAACAAATTTTAATTCTACAAAAATATCTTTAAAAAAAATAAACTTGAATTTAGGCTTTTATTTTGAAATATCAGATTCTCCTCCCGTTACATGAACAGTCTGGAATATTCTCCCTGCTCAGAGTGACCTGATCACATTTTTACTCACCTGCTCCTTCAAACGATCTACCACCATTACCACCACCATCATCATCATCACCTTCATCAGTGTGTGTGTGTATTCAGTGTGTGTGTGTGTGTGTGTGTGTGTGCGTGTGTGTGTGTGTGACAGCGGCGCCCTCTACGACGCGAGTTCGAACCCCGTCAGACGCGCAGTGGACGTCCCGTCAGCGTCGTCAGTGTCTTACCGTGAAAAGGACGCGGGTGGCGTGATTCTGAGCTGGAGACGAGCCGCCGCCGCCGCCGCCTCCACGCAGACGATTCTTGTACAATGAGATTTTGACAGATATTTAACCCTCGGTAAACTGCCTATTTTGTTATAATAAAGTCTATATTGAACTTTACTTAAGCACTACTACTACCGAGTTATTTTCTTTGCATTGTTAATCATATATGATAGAAAGTATAAAGATATTTGAATATGAATATATATTTTTCTTTTTCTTTGATCACCACCTCCTCTGTCTTTTAATTTTCTTTTTTAAGCATAATAAAAAGTTAACAAGAAAACTCACCCTCTCTCCTCCTCTTCTTCTTCTTCTTCTACTGTTTCTGGTCCTCCAGGTGTTGGAGCTGCAGAGTCTCAGAGACGAGTTTAAGTGATCTTAAATTTGAAAACAGGAATTTTTAAAAAAGGACTGAAATCCGAAATATTCCGGTTGTTGTTTAAATTTTTTTAACTTGGAGGTGAAATCTGGATAACTTTAACCCCTTCAAGTCAGGATTATCTTGATCCCTTCAGAGGGTGGATTGAGACAGCGTTACAGCATCAGTGTCAAATCATGAAAGATTTAAAGGGACATTTCAGTGTTTTTGAAGTGAGTTAAATATCGCTAACTAGTGTTTTAATTAAACACGGTGGATGTCTGTCAGCCTGAGGGTTCACATTTTAAATAGTGTTTAAAATATGAAATAAATTTCACCAAAATAAAAGAAGATGAAAATATTGATGATATGAAGTGATGGTCAAAGTGTTACGTGTGGGCGTGGCCTCTCGATCATTCACCAGGTGATTGTTGTTTGCAGAGAACAGCTTCTCATGACAACATCATAATTCTTTTTAAAATCATCTTCCAAAATTAATTTCCAGTTGAGAAGAAAAGAGAAATCTTTTCATGTAACAGGTGACTTCAGGTGAGAAATCAAAGTTCGCTGCAGGATGAAGAAGAGTGAACTCTTCATCAGCTGGTGAGTTTATCATCATCCCCAATTATTCATGTCTGAGAGCAGAACGCCGTCACAGGAAGAAACAGGCTCAGTCCTTTTCTGTTTGCAGGTGAGCTTCCTGCTCCTCCACTGCAGTCAAGTTGGCGGAGGTTCGTTTCTCCGTGGTCAAAACTATGACATTTTATCATATTATACTTCAACATTTGATATCATAACAAAACATAACTTTCTTTACTTTGACATTTTTATCATACTATATTTTTACTAAAGTGAGTGTGATTTATCACACTCTGCTATGAAATTTGTTTTCACAAATTTAAAAATTCAACATACTATACTTAGACATTTTTATCATACTATACTATGACATCTTTTTAATCATACTCTCCTACGAAATCTTTTATCATACAACACTATTGCATTTTTTCATAGTAAAAAATGTTTTTTTTTTTCACACCAAAATTTGACATTTTATCATACTATACTATGACATTTTTTAATAATTTCCTATGAAATTATTTTTCACATAAATTTTAAATTTTATCATACTATACTATGACATTTTTGGGTATAGAAAAAAAAGATTTTTTTTTTCTCTCCAAATTGAATTTTCAACATACTATGCTATGATATTTTTACCATACTGTAGTATGACACTTTTATCATACTATACTATGACATTTTCTTATACTAAAATCTGGAAAAAGATTGACACTAAAATTTGAAATTTAAGTAATACTATTCCACGGAATTTGTATCATACTATACAAACATTTTTTCATACTTTACATTACTTTTTTTTTCACATAAAAATTTGAATTTTTAACATACTATACTATGACTTTTTTATCATACTATATTTTTTTTACTAAAATGTGATTTTTTTCACACAAAAATTTGAAATTTTTATCATACTATACTATGACATCTTTTTATCTATGCCATGATATTTTTTTTCATACTGTACTGTGACATTTTTATCATACTATACTATGACATTTTCTTATGCTAAAATCTGAAAAAAATTGACACTTAAATTTGAAATTTTAGTCATACTATACCATGAAATTAATATCATACTATACTTTGACATTTTTTTCATACTTTACAATGACTTTTTTTTCACATCAAAATTTGAATTTTTAACATACTATACTATGACTTTTTTATCATACTATACTTTTATTTTTTTTTACTAAAATATGATTTTTTCTATTTGACATTTGTATCATACTATACTTTGACATTTTTTATCATACTCTCCTATGAAATCTTCTATCATACGATGCTTTTACATTTTTTCATACTTAAAAATGATTTTTTTACACCCAAATTTGAAATTTTTATCATACTATAGTAGGACATTTTCATCATTCTATAATATGACATTTTTTAACATACTATACAACGACATTTTTGTGTTATAAAAATATGAGATTTTTTTCTTCTCTTAAAATTTTTTAACATACTATACTATGACCTTTTTATCATACTTTACAATGACATTTTTTTATACTAAAATATGATTTTTTTTTCACACCCAATTTTGGAATTTTAATCATACTATACTATGACATTTTTTGGTATAAAAAATATATATTGAAATTGAAATTTTTAACGTACTATACTATGACAATTTTATCATACTATACCGAAATTTTTATACTAAAGTCTTTTTAAAAAAATTCACACTAAATTTTGAAATTTTTATCATACTATACTATGACATTTTTCCAAATTGAATTTTTAAAATACTATGCTATGATATTTTTACCATACTGTACTATGACATTTTTTCACACTAAAATATGATTTTTTTTTTCACACCAAAATTTGAATTCTTTATCATACTATACTATGACATTCTTTATCATACTATACTTTGACATTTTTTTACTTAAATATGTTGTAGTTTTTTTAAATTAAAATTTGTTTTTTTTTTTTACTTTTTTATCATATTATACTGTGACATTTTTTTCATACTCTACTTTAAAATTTGTGTTCACATAAATTTAAAATGTTAACATACTATATTGACATTTATATCATGCTACATGTTATTACCCGGGAGAATGGTTAGGGGAAGACTGGAAGTAACAATAAATTAAAACCGGGCAGGGGAGACTAAATGAAGAGTGGGAAACAGGAAATCAGAATAAGCAAGTAGTTTATTTACAGTCAAAAACTAATAACAAAAAGATCAAGCAACTAAAAGCAAGCATGAGGCCGATTATCAATAAGTCATTCAAAACCAAAATTCACTGCCAACTATTAAAACAAACAAAAGAAACACCACAGGCCCCTGCCAATGGAAAACCTGGATTCAAGAACACCAAAACACACAAGATAGAAACACAGTCAACAATCGGGAGGTCTGCAGCACAAGTGACGATCACGAGAGAGAGAGAATCAGCGCAGCTGTGCCTTCTTATATCCGCTCCCACTCATCACACCAAGCAGGTTCACCTGAGACACCTGGGGAGAAAACCTACCAGAGAGAGACACACAGCAGAAGACACAGGACACACCCACACACACAGCCATAACACTATACTATAACATTTATATCATAGTGCACAATGAAATTTTTTGTTGTAAAATGATATGAATTTTCTTTAAAAAAAAAAAAGAAATTTTAAACATACTATACTGACATTTTAATCATACTATACTATGACACTTTTTTTACTAAAACCTGATTTTTGTCAAACCAAAAATTTGAAATTTTTATCATACTATACTATGACATCTTATCAAACTATACTTTGACATTTAAATCATACAATTTTAATCATACTGCACAATGACATTTTTGTTTTAAAATTATATGATTTTTTTTAATCTTCTTTTAAAAAGGAATTTTTAACATACTATGCTATGACATTTTTTTATCATACAATACTATGCCATTTATTTTACTAAAACATGATTGTTTTTTTACACCAAAATTTGAATTTTTTTTATCATACTATACTATGACATTTTTTCATATTAAAAATGGATTTTTTTTCACACCAAAATTTGAAATTTTAATCATACTATACTATGACATTTGTTTTAATAAAAATATATGTTTTTTTTTTAAATAGAATCTTTTAACTTACTATACTATAAAAATGTTTTCATACTGTACTGTGAAATTATCTGTTAAATAAAAATGATCAATCTAAAACACTCTATACCATGACATTTTTATCATACTATACTGTGACAATTTTTAACATACTGTACTATGACATTTAATCATGCTATACACTGACATTTTTGTCTTATAAAAATATAAGAGATATATTTCTTAAAATTGAATTTTTTAACATTCTTTCAGTGACATTTTTATCATACTAAACTGACCTTTTTTAATATACTATACAATGACATTGTACATAGGAAAAGAAAATTCACACCAAAATTATTTTTTTATCATACGATACTTTGACTTTTTTTTTTTTTACAAAAAAATGTGTAAAAAAAATACTCACTAAAATTTAAATTTTTTATCATACTATACTATGACATTTTTATCATACGATACTTTGACAATTTTTTATACTAAAAAGTGATTTTTCTACACCAAAATTTGACATTTTTATCATTTTTTAACATACTACACTTTGACATTCATACAGTACGATGACATTTTAATCATACTATAATATGACATTTGTTTTGATAAAAATATATGTATTTTTTTCTCTACAGATTGTATTTTTATCAAACTATACTACGACATCTTTTACAATAAAATATTAATAGAAAATTCACACTAAAATTTGAAATTTTTTTTCATGCAGTACTATGGCTTTTTTTTTTTCAATCAAATATACTTTAATAATCAAATATTATCAAACTTTACAGTGACATTTATATTTTGCTATACTATATTTTTTTCATACTATACTATGACATTTTCATCTTATTACACTATGACATCATCATACTATACTATATGTATATCATACCTAACTACAATTTTTAAATACTCTAATAATGAGATTATTATCATACTATACTGTTATATCTAAAGAAGATACTATACTTTGACATTTTATAACACTTAACAATGATTTTTTTAACACACCAAAACAAAACCTTTTTATTATTCTTTTCTATGATATTTTTAACACAATATACTTTGATATTTAAAATCCCTTAACTATGATTTTTTTTAACACACTATGCTTTAACATTTTTTCATTCTAAATGTTATATTTTCATCATATTATACTTGATAATTTTATCATATTATACAACAATATTTTTATCAAACTATACTGTGACAAGTACAAATGTCGGACTTTTAATATGAAATTTCTTAATATTGACACAGTAAAAATGAAAAAACCTCAGTGTGTCAGTAGTCAGAGATGTCTTCTACACTTTAACACCAAGTTTAACTGTTGTTGTTCCTCCAGTGTGTATTTATAAATGAGCCCATAGAAACTGTCAAATCCTTCAAACCTCAGATTAAAGTCATTAATAATTCATAAATAAACTTTTAAAAGCAGCTTAAATTGACCAAAAACTACAAAATAAAACTTTAAAACTTGTATCAAATTTTACATTTTAACCTGAACAGTGTTTACCTTACGTCCTTGAGTAGTTCTGATAATTCATCTTAAATTTCTCTTTTTTTGACAGATTTTTATTCCCACCGAATTTATTTAGAAGGATTAAAGTCACATTTTCTGACAGAGAACTTCACTGTAACGGATAAAAGTTTTAATGATGATTAAAAAAAAGTGTTTATTGGAGAAAAAAAACGAAAGAAGGTTATTTTTTTTCCCTTATTTGAGACGTGCGTTTGTCTCTAAGCATGCTTTTATTTTGTAAGTTCATGTCGGATGTAGCGTCATTTCCTCTTGTGTTTGATTTGTCTGGACCGGGTCATGTCTCTGGTTCCGTCTTTAAGGTCCTCCAGTAGAGACCTCTGGATCCTTCGGACCTTCTGGCCCAGTTCTCCCAGTCCCCCCGGAACCTCCGCGGTCTCCTCCCGGATCTGTTGGACGGTCCGGGACCGCAGCGCCCGGCCCGCGGCCTCCTTCCCGGCCTCCTGCGCCTTCAGCACGGCCCGGGCGGTCAGCTTCGCGGCGCCGCGGACCGGAAGGGACTCGGAGAGTTTCTCCACCACCTGAGCTTTATTAATGAGAGCCGACAGGAAGTACCTGAGGACCATGGTGACAGGACGTCAGCACACCTGAGGAAGAAGAGGCCGGCACGAGGGTGTAACAATAGAAAATCATGAAAAGAACCGGTTATGACCGAATATCACCGAATACAGCGAGTCCGACTGAGTCACCTGGAGCGTCAAGTCGTCCGGAATAAAGGCGCGTCTCCTCCGGTGTTGTCCTTCAAAATAAAAGTTGAATCCAAACTTAAAAGCTGGATCACAGTCCTTAAAAAAAAAAAATACAATAGAAACAAAAAATCACAAATCCCCTTAAAAAAATAAAACCGAGTATTAAGGCCACACTAAGGGAGAAAAAGTAAAACTTCATAATTACATGTGAGAATAAAGTTGTAATAAAATCATTTCTTACGAGCCATAATGGAATCATTAAGAAAATAAAGTCGTAATAAATAATTATTACTGAGAATAAAGTCGTAATAAAATTATTATTTACAGGAATATAGTCATAATAAAATGAGAATAGCTATTAGCTACGACTTTGTTCTCGTAAGAAATGATTTTATTACAACTTTATTCTTGTAATTACTTTATCACGACTTTATTCTCATAAGTAATTCACAAATCCCCTTTAATTTTCTTTTAAAATAAAAATTTTAACCAATAGCTGTTTTATACATAATTTAGTAAATGACAAACGGGACTTAAATTGTTGCTAACGCTTTTTCCTGCCGTTTCTATAAACATGATAAAATCCAGGTCTTAATGATTACGTTTATATTGAGAATTTAAATTGCAATTTTACGCCTGCACCGAACAAAAACGAAACATGCGTCAGGTAAGAGGTCAGAGGTCCCCTTAACCTTTTAAAGGTCGCTATAACCATCACAAATCAGCTGACTGTAGACCCAGCATCGGATTGGTCGACTGACCACAACAAGCACAACACTATTTCATTCAAAATTATCCATAAATCATCCGTCTTGGATTTGGAGTCTCTGTTTTCTAATCAGCAGGCGGTCTCACGAGTGAGTGGATTTTAAAGTCCATCAGTATATTGAAACCCAAATTGAAGAGGACCGATTTAATCTTCTTCACTTTGTTAGAAGACTCTGAACTTCAGTAAAAACAAAAACAGTCAAAGAGTTTCAGGCAGCTTTTATTCTCAACAGCAGACAGGTGTGTGACCTTTGACCCTGATCCTTCAGGGGTCTGTACAGTAGATCAGCAACGAGGGGGGGGGGGGCGACATGGAGGAATAAATTAAAACCCCAGAAACAGTCGGGAAAAAATCAAAGACGGGAAATAAACTCTGAAACTGATCCGAGCGAAAAAACGACAAAACCGAAGAATCAAATAAAAACCATAAAAAAGTCTGTTAGAAAAGTCGAGTGCGTTTCAGTTTTTGGTTCATCCTCACTGTGCTTCTGTGACCACACACACACACACACACACACACACACACACACACACACACTCTGTACACTGAACAGATCAAACCTTCAGTATTTACACATTTATAAACTCTTTAAATCCAGATTATTTAAATTCAGACTCCCTTAGGCTCCACCCCCGTGTCCTCCTCATCCAATCAGCAGCTGCTGTTCTTGAACTCGCCGTTCTCAGTGATGGACAGTTTGGTGGGGTTGGTGGGTGACAGGCCTTTGCAGAGGTTTGGCGTGCTGTAGCGCTCCTTCACCTGCGCCAGCGCCGCCATCAGACGAGAGTTCGCGGCATCCAGGGAGCCGATCCGCTTCTCCTGATTGGACAGAGACAGGGGGGGAGGGGGCGGGACAGGAAGTCAGACTGAGGGTTACAAAATAAAACAGCAGGTTGTGATGATCCAACTGTCGGGTTAAAAAACACAACGCAGCACAAAGTCTCTCCTGAGGTTATGATGAGGAAATATCACTTAAAATCTTTAAAAATAACCTTAAAAATAATTAAAATCACCTCAAATGACCCCCGCCTTAACTTCACTCTTTACTTTAATGACCCAAAATGACCTAGTGTCCTCAGATAACACTAAAACACCAAAAAACACTTAAAAAGTCCTCAGAAATCTTTACAAAACCTTAAAATGTCCTCATTTTTACCCCGAAACACCTTAAAATCTTTTTTAAAAATCTTAAAATTACTGATAAACTTGTGAAGTAATCCCAAAAACTTCTACTAACATGCACCCAAAATTACCCTCAAACACTAAAAATCTGTGGAAAAAAAACCAACAACAAATTCTCAAAAAACTCTAAAGGGACTGAAAATTTTCTGGATTTACCCGGAGACTCTTAAAATCTTTTTAAATGACTCCAAAACCCTTTAAAGTCTCCCCAAAGACCGAATTTTACTTTGATTTACCAAAAAGATTCAATATTTTCTTTAATTACTCAAAAAACAAAAACCTAAAAAAACCACCAAACAAATCCTAAAAAAATTTAAAAGCACTTGAAATGATCTTGATTCACCCTGAGACTCTTAAAAACACAGTTTACATATCCGAACATAAACGTTCAAACTTTCATAACGAACCTTTAAACACTTTAAATTTCCTAAATGTCACTTAAATATTCAGAGAAACACGATTAAAACTCTTTAAAAGGTGATAGAGTTAAAACCGCTGATTATGACTCGACAGTCAAACTATTTTAACGATTTTATTTCAGTTTTTTAAAGACCCTTGGACCGGTTTTAATTTTTCTTGAAACTTAAAAAATTATTAAAAAATGTAAAAATACTCCAAACACCTGGATTACATCATCATCAGAGGACGACAGGTAAGAAGCTTTAAAAAACTACAAATATGGCCGAAACAGTTTGTGCTGCGTCTTTGACCCGACAGCAGGAGGCGGAGCGAGTTTGAGGGCAGCAGCCAGAGACGCAAACGAAGAAGAGAAAACTGTAAACAAACAAACAAATAAACAAATAAATAAATAAATAAAGTGAGAGAGAAGCTCAAACTGATCTGAAATCAGTCTCTCTGAGTTCTGATCCACCTGCTCAAAAACAGAACCGGATGGTTGCAGTGTCGGACCTTCTGTCGTCCCGGGTTTATCTGCTGGTTCAGGAGGGGGAGGGGCAGTGAAGGGTGGGGGGGGCGGGGTCAGCCAAACAGAAATAAAACAGCTGAGAGCGCGACACACCCTGAAGACACCTGAGGACACCGAGACACACCCGGAACCATGAGCTCCTGAGGGTCCAGGTCCATGAGCTCAGTCTGGGTTCTGTCAGGTCCGGGTCTGTTAGTAAGGTTCTGTACCGGACTTCTATAAATCCTAGATTCCCTGAACAGAAGCTGAAGAACTTGAATGAAGATGTTTGTTTGTAAAAAGTCTAAATTCAGGATTTTTCAGGTCTGTTTTCAAGAGAACGTTAAAAACGCTCATTTTTTGAATGGGGTTTGGTTACACTGTTTCTGATGCAAATGCAGGATAAACTGGAGACACGGAGCCGAAGACTCCATTTCTCTCACCTGCTTCTAAAGACGACCCTATGAATTCTGGGTAATAAGCATAAAGGGACAGTAGGAACATCTGCTCTCTGATTGGCTGCTCAGGTGTGTCGGCGCTTCTTTTTGTGGCGTGTTTTTAAAAACAGCTTGGTGGAGGTGGCGGTGAGGGAGGGAGGGGGTGAGGTCGGCAGGGTGGGGTGGAGGTGTGTGGGGGGGGTGGTGGTTGCCAGGCTACAGTCACTACTTGCCTGATTGGTCAATTTCACATCCGTTACTGACCTGAAATCAGCGAAGAGTCAATGAGACGCAGAAGGACGACTAAATGTGCAGGAGGTCATCTCTGATCAACAAACTTAAGAATCCTGATCGACGGACAAACACACTGAACCACAACTCATCAATTCATCGATTGATTATCCTGAAACGTGAAAATTAAAGAGCTCGATAACACGCCGCCGCTCGAATTTTAAAACCTGCAGAGGTCAGAGGTCTGTGGTTAAAATCCCAGAGTGCAGTAGGGGTGGGCGGTGATTAAGTATTCAGGTAAACCGGCGCGTCTTTCAAAAGCAACAGTTTCATACCGTGATGGCGCCGGCGCTCTGTTTTCTACGCCCAGAGTGATATTACCGTAACACCGTCAAAGTTTGTCCAATCAGAAAAACGTCAACAGTGTTGAAAGGTTAGAGTCGTGTGTGTGCGCCTCTATAAGGTTTACTACGGTAGTCGTGACCATATAAGGCAGGCCGTCAGCGCAAAACACAGGAAGTATCAGCAGAGCGCTACGCAGCGTCTCAATACCGTAACTCCTCTAAAGTTTGTTCAAACGCTGACAGAGAGCTGACGATCTGAGCGTTAATTTATGATGTTTTTATTACGGTAATCTGGAACGGTACCAACAAAACAGCAAGTTTGACAGAAGAGGAGGGAGAAAAGAAGAGTGGAGGAAGACAGAGCGAGAAAAATCGTGTTTTTTGGTGATAAATATTCGTAAATAGTTTAATAAAAAGGCGACCAGAGAGACGGAAACTCTTCTAACCTAACGACGGATCTCTGAATCAACCACCGCTGATACTGATGAAGGACCAACAACAACTGAGTCCACCGCCACGAAAACACAACCGACAACAATGGAGGAAAATAACGAAGTACCAAAGGGAGCGTGTCCGTTAGAAAACTGAACGGATACGGTGACGTTCTGTTCGTTTTTGACTTTTTAATCTGTTTCTGATCAAAGTTGTGAATATCGTTCATGTTTTGTTGTTATTGTTTCATTTTCAGTGTTTGGTTTTCAGTTTCTGAAGTCAACGGTTTAGCGACGCCGTCTGAGCCTCAAGTCTTCATTTCTAATTATTCACGGTGATTCTGGAGACCGCGGTAAAACGTGGAGACGGTACGACGGCGCCGAAGTTTGGATACCGCCCAACCCGACCAGGCAGGTCTTAGTTTGGAGCAGAAACCCTTAAAACTGTCCTGGAATTCAAAACGAGTTTCCAGGAGAGTTTAAGACCCTCCTGACCTCCTCCTGACCTCCTCCTGATCTCCTCCAGTAAAGCAGAGGTAAAGAGGGAGGGGTTATCAGTGGACAGTAAACATGGCGGCGTCTGCAGGTGTCAGGGGCGTGGTTAGAGCTGCTCTGGGGTCAGGGGTCAGTGGTACCTGAGCGTCGATGATCCTCTGTTTGGCTTCGATCACCGCCTGCATCTCTGCGTGGTCCCTCTTCAGCTCCTCCTCCACCGCCATCAGTCTGAGGGCGACCACACAGAAACACTCAAAACTCAGCTGATCATGTGACTGAACAACAGAGCGGACAGGTGAGGGGGCGTGGCCTACCTGCAGATGATGCTCTTCATCTGGCTGTCCTTCTCCTCCTGCTGCCTCCTCAGGCGCTCCTCGCTGTCCTCCAGGCGGTTCTTGTACTCCTGCAGGAGTTTCTGCATCTGCTGCTCCTGAGTCAGCAGGCGGCGCTCGTACTCCTCCAGACGGCGCCCGGACACACGCAGACGCTCCTTCAGACGCGAGATCTCCAGCTCGTACTGAGGGGAGGAGGGGGCGGAGTCAGAGTGACCTCATCATCATCATTACTGTACGTGTGCGTGTGTGCGTGTGTGCGTGCGTACCTTCTCGGTGTTCCGGCCCTCCTCCCTCTTCTCTCCGCCCTCCTCCTCCTTCTCCTCGTACTGACCGTTGTTCAGCACCCAGGCCGCCGTCCTCTCCACCGGGGACATGGCCACTCCCACCGCCTCCACCGGAGACGTCACCTGAGCGTGTGCAGTGACATCATCACACACCTGAGACAGTGGTCAAAGCTTCATTTATTGGTTAGAGACAGTACCTGCTGCGGCTGCTTGGTGGCGCTCCTCGGGGGCGGAGCCACGTTCTCTGACGGACAGGGCGTCTGTTGTCTGTTGGGTTGGTTGGCGGACGTTGGCGTGGGCTCCGTGTTGGCGCTGCTGCTGCTCCTTAAAGACGAGCTGTGAGGAACAGACCGCGGCGTCCTGGCCCCGCCCCCTCCTCTGCTCTGCTGCTCCACCTTCACGATGTGGGCGGTTCCCGCCGTTGTGCTCTGGCGAGGGATGGCGACGGCTGTAGCAGCGCCTGGCGGAAGGTCGTGAGGTGCGTGTCTGCGTGGCGTGGAACACTCCTCGCTCTGCGTGCTCCGCCTGCTGCCCAGCTCATCCAGGCTGCTGTTGGACGCCACGCGACCTTTGACCCCGACCTGGCTGCCGAAGTCTTCGGAGTTGCTGTGGCTGTTGTGCGAGCTCTCGGTGCTCAGGTTCTCGGAGCTGGAGTCGTGCCGCAGAGACTGGGCGGAGCGTGTGGAGGCGCTGTGGGCGGGGTTACTCAGGTGGTACACGGGGTTCTGGAAGGACAGCGGCTGGAGGCTGCGCTGCTGACTGAGCGACGGGTGCAGCGGGCGCCTCACCTGCGGCGCGCTCTGCGGCTGAGTGTCTCTGGGCGGGGCTTTGGTCTGGTGAGGCGGCGGCTGCGGAGTGTGAGGGTTGGAGTGAGGGTAGTTTAGTGGGGGCGGGGTCTGACCAATGGAGGCCTGAGAGCCCACTCTGCTGAGACGGGGCGGGGCCTCGTGGTGAGGAGGCGGTCCTTGTGGGCTGTGCAGACTCTGAGTGTCCTGCAGATCCACCAATGAGATGCTGCGTCCGTTCGGCAGGAGGGTGTCCCTCTCCTCATGGTCGGAGAAGCTGGTGTGGGTGGATGGAAGCTTCTGGGCCAGCAGGGGGCGCTGACCTCGGCCGTAACCCTCCATCAGCTCAGGAGACTGCAGACTGCGGGCGTCGCTGTGGCTGCAGGAAGTGACATAAAACATCAACTGAGGTTCTATGATCTGATTATTCTGTCCAATGACCAGCAGAGGGCGACCACGACCAAGGAACGTTTAGTCTCTTTGCTAAAGTTAAAAAGATGTTTGGTGTCTAGTACTATGATCCGTTCAGTAACAGAACCTCATTGGAAAATTAGCTGATTTAACTTTACTGTGCTCTTGTTCAAATATAATAACTCGACAGCACATAAATCCATACCTGTTAACAAAATCATGATTTTATTGATAATTCGGCTCAATAATAAATTGATAAATTGATGAGGGGGTGTCTAACTCCGTGTTACGGTGTGTTTGACCCTATTTTAATTTCACGCTTGAATATCCCTTTAGGTGGACTGAGGGATCAGAATCGGACCTTCTTTCGTAAAGTCCAGTTGTCCTTTCAACGTAGAATTTAAACTCATAGATGCTGCATCCTCAGTTTTAAACAACATCTGCGTCCATCCAGACAAGGACTTGGTTACCTGTCGGCGGGGTCCTCAAAGATCCGCTGTAACCCTGACGACAGGCTGCCGCTGATGTTGTGCGCAGAGTTGTGCTCCTGGAAACGCCGCAGCTGCTGCTGGACCGGCGTGGGCGCCGCCAAACAGCGAGAGATGTCTCCCAGAATCCTCGGCAGCGGGCCCAGCTTCGCTACGGTGGCCTGCAGGAAGGAATTTTCACCCTGGAGTCGCCGTGTATGTGTGTTTATATGTGTGTATGAGGGTGTGTGGAGGGTACGGATGGAAGCAGTGGTGGTGTTGGTGGTGGGAGAGGGAAACCAACATGGTGGCAACAGAAAAGAGTCGGCCAGAGAGGCGGTGACAGGAGGAGGAGGGGGAGGAGAGGAGGAGGAAAAAAAACATGAGGGAAACTTAATGGAAACAAAAATCAACTAAAACATCATGCTTCTACTGAACAGAACCACGTCAGACACAGCAGAACCATGCCGAGCTCCAACAGGTGAGACAGGTGTGCCAGGGGGAGGAGCTTAGAGGTGAGGGGTGGGGGGGGTGGGGTTCAGGCCATGCTGTGAAGTTCAGCCACGCAGCGTTAATGTGGTTAAAGGGTTAAATGAACTGAGGTGACCTTTGGTGTTTGTTCAAGTAACATCATCAAATATTTACATCACACACACACACACACACACACACTTAGAGGAAAACACACTAACACACACACTGATCACCGATCAATATGAAATCAGAGTTTGTCTGGTTCTTCATATTAAAAATATCACAGACAGTTTTAAAGAGTTTGGACCGATCAGAGAAACTAAAATTGACTCATTTCTGGAAAAAAAACATTCAGCAGGTTTTTATAAATTAATATCAGACGAGTTTATCTCTCATCTTAAATGAAAATTTTCATGTATTTTTTTGGTTCAGATTTTTGTTTCATTTTCTTTCTCTTTTCTTTAGTTTAAGATTTATTTATTAATAAATGTTGGATGTATTTTTCTGTATTATTTTTGTTAAATGTAATTTTTCATGTGTTCATTTGCATTTTTCGTGTCATTTACACTTTATCCAATTGTATTGTTTTTTAAAGTTTTTTTTTCAACTTTAACTTTAATTCTGTTTTTACATTTTCTAACCTATTTTAAAGAGGTTTTTTCTCCTTTTTTTGTGTAATTTAAATTCTTTATTGTAACTAAGTTTTTGTTTATTTATGAGCATCATTGTTGTATTTAATTGTGTTATTTTGGACCTTTTTTTAAGCTTTGTTATGATTTTGTTTTTATTTATTTTTGTTTATTTCATTTTGTTGATCATTTTAATCTATTCTATTATTTTTCTAAATGATTTTGATTTATTTAAATGTTTTTTTGCTTTTATTATTAGTTTTGTTCGTTTTTTGCTTTATTTTATTTAAATTTTTTTGCCCTACTTAATCTTTGTTAGGCCAAAATACTTAATTTTTAATGTTTCTCTCCTTTTTTTCACTCTGTAATGTTTTTTCTAATATTTCAGCTCATTGACAGATTTTTTATATTTGATTTATTTTCACCAAAACATGAGAAACAATTTTCTAGTTAGTGCCAATAAATGTGATTTTATTAAAAAATAATATAAATATAATTCAGAAATACTTTTACTCATGGGGGAATGATTTTTTAAAGGAGGGAGCTGTTTTATTGATCTGTTTGATTTTAATATTTATTTATATATTTTATGTTTATATTTATTTATATATTATATTTTTCTATTTATTAATATGTTTTATTTTAATATTTATTTATATATTTTATGTTTATATTTATTTATATATTATATTTTTCTATTTATTTATATGTTTTATTTTAATATTTATTTATATATTTTTGTCTTACACTCATTTTCATTCCTCTCTCTGAGGTCGTCCTGAATCCAGTAATGAAACCAAAACGATGTAAAAACACGCCTCCTGCACTGGTCGATTAGCAGCTGCATCACTGCAAACACACACACACACACACACACACACACACACACACACACACACCTTGTCGAGCTGGGAGACGACCTCCCACAGCAGAGCGTGTAACACCGACAGCTCTCGGCCGAGGTCGATGTAACCCTCGAAGCCCGGCGTGTTGGACAGAGTCTCCGGGTTTGAGATCTCCGCCAGGAAGCGCATCATCCCCGCCCACTCGTGCTCCAGGAAGTCGTTCATGAAGGCCATGTACTCCTCTTTGTTCACAAACCTGCAGAACAAACGGAGAACGTCACGGTCTGTCACTCAGAGCGTAGACTGGTTTCAGGGTCAGGAACTCTGTCTGCCGACTCTGACTCACTTGGTGAAGTTGGCGAGGTTCTGGATGACTTTGGCGATGAGCGTGAGCGTCCGGGACGTGCGGTCGTCTGGGTATTCCTGCATGAGGCTGAAGAGCGACGGCGACATGATAGCGGGGCAGAGGAAGCGCAGGAAGAGCGAGGCGCTGATCAGACGTTTGCTGATGTCCTGCGTGTGACCGCGAGCGAGGCACTGCTGCTTCCAGGACGCAAACACCTCCTTCAACTCACGAGGAAACACGCTGAGGAGGCAGAGAGGAAGGAGAGCGGTTCTTACATCCACCTACAGATCGAGTGAAGAGTGACAGACGTGTGTGTGTGTGTGTGTGTGTGTGTGTATGTGTGTGTGTGTGTGCAGGTACCAGTAGGAGTTGATGATCTTGCAGAAAGCGAGCTCGCAGCACATCTTCAGGTTACTCTGATGTTCAGCCAGATCGCTGCCCGAGCAACGGCTGGGATCCACCTCACAGTTCTCGTCCGACTCGTACAGAGCTTTGATGAACTCACCTGTACACACACACACACACACACACACACACACACACACACACGTTGATTTGATGCTACACAAAGACATATAACCCTGTGATTGATGATCAGAGCAGAGGAGCAGTAATGAGAGTCTGGATCTGAGAAGAATCTGAGCCGCGGTCAGTGACAACACAGTTTTATATCACCGTGTCTCCTGACGACACAGACCCACTCGACGCCCTTTTTAACTTCATTTTAGACGTTAAATCATCACATTAAATCCTGGATGTCGGAGAACCACACATATGAGATTTCACCAAGAAGGTATTTTTTCATTTCATAAATAAAACCTGAGTGCGACCGTTTCTCTCTCAACGCAGAGACATGAATTCATGCTTTCATCACTAGTAGAAGAGATTACTGTAATGCCCTAAAAGAACATTTCACACCTGTAATTATTACAAAATTCAGCTGCAGAAAGAGAGATCACATCACAGCGATTTTAGGGTCTCTGCGTCGGCTCCCCGTCTCTTCTAGAACAGATTTTAAGGTTGTTTTATTGGTTTTAAAAGCTCTTAATGTCTTTGGTCCTTCTTATTTATCACATGAGTCAGGTCGAGTCCTCAGGTCTTTAAGAGGTTCTCTGTAAACATTATTACCTAAAGTTAAAACTAAAATACGGTGAGGCATCTTTTTATTACTGGAACAGTTTACCTGAAGACCTGAGGACTGAAACTAATCTGAACAAACCTTTTTAGTCTTTTAACTAAATTTTATATCATTAACTTGAAGTATTTTAGCATTTATCTCTTTCTAGTTTTAATGACAGGATCGTCTTTTATTGAGCTGTTTTTATTTCATTTTATTTATTATATCTTAGATTTCATTTGATGTTTCTTTGTTTTTCGATTTTTAACCTCCAGTGTTTCCTTATCTTAAATTTTAAATAAGGTTTCCTCAGTGCGCACATTTAAGCCCTTTTTAATCTTGTGCATTTTAATTGTGTTTCTGTTGCGTTCAGATGGTGGGACTGAGGGTTGGGTTGGGGTAGATTTGGGTTTTCTTTGTTTCTGTTATTCCTCTGCTGTGTAAAACACTTTGTGCTACATGTTCGTGTATGAAACGTGATATATAAATAAAGGCTGATTGATCGATTGATGATCGTTGTAGATGTGATTTTAGTTTCTGAGGTTAATGTTGAGTTTGGATCCCTCTCAGTCTCGTACTCAGAGGATGGTCTGTGTGAGTCTGTGGAGGGTGAGAAGTGGGCCACGACGTCTCTTCTCCGCTCAGCATTAATTAGTCATGATGTTTTTGACGAGTTTCCCCCTTTAACAACTTGATTCCTCCTGTAGTCTGAGGATCATGTTTCACTTCAGATGGAGATGTTTTAACAAGTTCACTCTGAATCTCTGCTTGTCGGATCTCTGTGTACGAGTCTGGGTGATAAGATCGGTCCTGTACTGACCCAGAAACTAACAGAAACATCTTTATTATTCGTTTATTAAACTGTCAGTTAGTTTCTCTCAGAGCACAGCTGTCCTCTGGTTCATGAATGAAAACATGAGACAGGTAGAGCAGCAGCAAAGACCCTCAGGTATGTCTCTGTTCTGTCGGCCCCCTGCCCTCCTATGTGTTTATATGAGACGAGCAGGTAAAGACCTAGAGACAGCTAAACAGACAGATTATTTTGAGTAGAAAGTAATCAGCTGATGTGGGCGGGGTTAAGATCAGCTGATGAGCAGTGGGCGGAGCTTGACTTGCCTGTCTAATAAACAGTTTCCCCTCACATACTGATTTCAGAGTATTGACATTTTTAAATATCTCTCCTCAAACATAATTATTGTTAAATGAAATGTTTTATTTATTCATTTAAAAATACTCTTTATCTAATAATATATATATTTTTTTTCTTTAACTTAAATTCTGTTTTTACATTTTCTAACCTATTTTAAAGAAATTTGTCCTTTTTTTTTATTGTAACTTTTTTGTTTTATTTAATTGGCATCATCATCATATTTACTCATGTTAATTTTGAACCTTTTTTGGCTCTCTAATAGTTTTGTATTTTATTCATTTTTGTTTATTTAATTTTAATGTTCGTTTCAATCTATTTTTTTTTATTAAAACATTTTTGTAAAATTGAAATTTTTAGTTTTTTTTTAATTCAATTTTTTTTCTCTATTTAATCTTTGTTAGGCCAAAATACTTAATTTATTTATTTTATTAGTGTTTCTCGTCTTTTTTTCACTCTATTTTTTTTTTTTATATTTAAGCTCATTGATGAATGTTTTATGTTCATTTTCACCAAAACATGAGAAACAACATTCTCATTAGAGCCAAGAAATGTGATTTTATTAAATGTAAAAGTCAGATAAACTTCATCACATTGGAGAATGATTTTTTTCAAATAGGGAGCTGTTTTATTGATTTATTTTATTTTAAGATTTATTTATATATTTTACGTTTAGATTTATTTATATGTTTATTTTTATATTTAATATATATATACATATTTCAATATTTATTTATATATATATTTTTATATTCAGAGTATCAGAGTATCTACATTTTTTTATGTGCGAGGTTGAACCTTAACCCCACCCCCCCTCGGTTATGTCTGCTCGTGGTCACCATGTTGTCCTGAACCAGAAGCGGCTGGATGAAGCTCTTTCTCTCCCCTCCAGGTCGTCCGTCTTTCTGAAAGGTTGTGTTTGAATTTTAATCACAGAGCTGAATGTCTGAGTCGTTTTTGTCGGCGGAGCAGATTTCCTGTCGCTCTGAGTTTGCAGAGAAACTAGGTTTGGACTCTTTGAGGTGTCGTTAATCTCTAATGAGCGTCTGACTGTGCAGCAGCAGCAGCAGCGGAGCGACATGAATCAGCGCCGCTGCGCCGAAGACTGAAAATGTTCAATAATAATCTGCTGTCACAATAAAACCCTGAACTGAGCGCTCATGTTAGCGAACACACCGCAGGAGGCCGCTCCTTCAGAACTTCTCCTCTGTTTCCAGACGTGATCTATAAATATATGAACAAGGCTGACATGGTTTTTGTGTTTTTGAGATGTTTGGGACTAATAATAGTCGGAGCGTCTTCAGCTCCTCTGTGTGTGTGTGTGTGAGGAGGACTTTGGGATGTTTGTTGGTTTGTAGTGACAGCAGGTCTCCTGGGTCCTTCACTGTTCTGCTTCTGTCACTTTCAGCACACGTCCTCTGCTATAAAAAGTCTTTGTGAAGCTGCTGTGAGATGTTTCAGAACATGCAGACTGAGTCACCCGCAGGAGGAAGATGAAGATGATGCAGCACACTTTCAGACACGTCCACAGATCCATGAAGACCGTCTGTACTGGTGATTATTTTCAGGATCCACGTGATGCTGCAGAATATGAAAACCTACACCCGTTTGCATTAACTGAGCCCATGAAGACCTGCACTGTGGAGGTTCTGCATGCTCAGGTCCTCACCTTCACCTGAAGTTAACAACACCTGACCCCTAAGCCTTCAGGAGACTCACCTAGGGCGTCGTGCAGGTACTTCTGCCCCACCAGCTTCAGGTATTCCTCGATGGCTTTGGTGGCCAGCGTGTTCTCCCTGAAGATCAGGACGTCGTGGTCGGCACAGCGGTCCACCTCTGACATCACCAGGTCTGTGAGGAAGTCCTGAACAGGAGGCGGAGGAGGATAGAAACACACTGATGAAGGTGCAAACACACGAATCAACAGACAGTCGAGCTGTGCTGGACGTTAACTTCAGAGTGATGTTTGGTCAGGACGATGGTGTTTATTGGAGTTTCTGATTATTTCATCAAGACTTTCTGAACTCTTCATTAAAACAGATCTTTGGAGCTTTCAGGGTTGGATGAAAAATTCGGACTGATGACTCAGATATCTGGTCCATCAGAGCTGAAGGCTGTAAGTTCTCAGAGAGGAAACCATCGTCTGCAGAGATCTGTGTGGAGCTTCATTTAACTCATCTAACAGAGAGACCCTCACCTCCGCCGCTGTCTGAAACACTTCAGCTACTGTCTCTTTAAGAGACTTCAAAGACCCACACATCAAAGCATTCTAGAACCTTAAAGTTCTAGAACTCAGCATTCTAGAACCCAAGATTTTGGAACCTAGTGTTCCACATCTTGCTAGAACCTCAAGCATTTTAGAACCCAGAATTCCAGAACCCCACACCCATGAACCTGGTCCCTGAGAGCCCTCTCCACTGTTGCCATGCTTCAATGAATAAACCAGGTTTTTTCTCACGTTAAAATGACATGGATGAAGAACCGCTGTAGGTTCTGATCACTCAGTTCATTTACAGTCTCAGTTTAATCGACTAAACTCACTTCTCTCCTTGTCCTCGTAAACATGCAGCTGAGAAAACTGAATTATTGACGTGAACGTGTCCTCCTCCCCAACACTAGGGGGCGATATTGGTCTTTTCAGCGGCGCTGTTTCCGACCCCATACAACCGTCAACAACAACAGCAGGTCGGTGTCAGACGTCAGAAGTGTCTACAACTGCTGCTGGGCATTTTGGAGAAACAAGAAGATGGAGCATCGTACAGCGTTGTTTTTGTCCGACATGATGGACGCGCTACTTTTTCTAAAGAGGAGACCAACGCTACTCCTCTACTCTGGGGCGTGGCCGATCATTCTCCAACGACGTTGGTTACATGGTAGAGAAAATCGAATTCCAATCTCATTATCTGGGTGTTGGACTAAAAGTCGGACTAAGGTGTTTACATGAACTTCAGTTGTCCGGTCTTTATCGGAATAAGGCGATAATTCGGTTTTCTCCAGTGTCGTGGAAACGGACTGAGTGAATCAACCTGAGGAACCTCTTGTGAGTTTCTGAACAAGGTTCCTAGTCTGGATGATAAACTAACCGGCTGCAGTTTATCTTGAACCCGTTTGAGACTGATATCAACTCAAACATCGAACCCTCAGAGATACAGCTGATCGAGGACTGACCTTTGCCCTCCCGGTGCTCTGCAGGATGTGGACGAGCGCGCACGCCATCTCCTCCTTGTTCTTGACGCTGATGACGGGCTCCAGAACGGAGCACAGCATGGAGTAGTTGTTGGTGATGAACTCGGCAAACTCCTTGTACTGCTCCATGGGCAGGATGGAGATGGTCTGGAAGCGGGACTTGATGCGGATCGACGGCCCCCCTCCTTTGGCCTTGCTGGCGGTGGGCGTGCTGACCGGGTACCACTTCTCCACAAACTGCCGACCCGTCACGCCCGACACCGGGATGTTGACCAGGCCCACGTAGTTGTTCTTGTCCTTCTTCTTCTTCTTGTCCACGTCCCGGTAGATGTGCACGGTGATGCTGTGAGTGGGGGGCAGGCTGGAGAAGTCGAAGTACTCGCCCCAGAACAGGCTGTCATGGCGGGTTTTGCTGGTGGTCCTGGCGTAGAGGACATCATCCAGACACAGCTCACAGAAATACTTCTTCTTGGGAGGAAGGTCTTTGGCTTCGATGATCCAGAGTCGCAGCAGGTTCTCCGCCCGCCGACAGTTGTCCTAAAAACACAAACAACTCCAGATGAAGCGCTTGGACTTCTTTGAAAACAGAGAACTTCAGATTCACGGTGAAGTCCAGGCTCAGGTCAAGACCGACCCACCTGTGAGTGGGTCTTTGTCTCACCTTGTTCGGCTGAATCGTCCTCCTCAGGTTTTCCATCCACTTGTCTCTCTCTGAAGCCGACGTGCAGCTGAAACATTTGCTGCCGCCCGAGTACGTCACCTGACAGAGAGAGAGAGAGAGGACGCCATGACATCATGTTTTAAGGTCAGATCTGTACGATACCAGTGAAGCCGTGTGATAAGACAGGACACTTTAACGACGTAAATCCTGCACGTCCCTCTGTGATCGTTTAGTTTGGGCTGAACTCACCTCGAAGCAGAACTCCTGACCCAGGATGCTGCTGTGCAGAGGTTTGATGAACACGTCCTCCTCCATGCTCAGGTCCAGAGCCTCCACCGCACTGCCCGGACTCAGCAAAGACTCATGGGAGGTCGACTCCTTCAGTTTAGGAAGCCCACGAGATCTGAAAGTGGAGCGTGGAAGTTAAACATCGGTAAAAAGACGACACAGATAAAAGTACGGAGCTTTTTCGGACGGGACGACAACGCCTGAGATTCATGAGACCGGTTCCTCAGACTCCTCCTCCTCTCCCACTTTCCTTTTTCTCTGTTGTTGGGGAGAAAAAAAACCTAAAACAGCTTTTTCATCGCTCTTCACAAAGACACCAAACTCCACTGACAAAAGCGACAGTTTTACACCTCAGAGTAAGCGGTCCGTACCTGCTTCTACCGGACTGTTTGTTTTTGTTATCGGTCAAATTTGGTCTTTTAATGAGTCCGTTCAGATCTGCCTGTCGCACAATCACTCCGCAGACTTCCCAGCGGAGGCAGAAGTAGACCGACAACTCCTGACCTCTGCAGATGTTTTAAGGTCAGATCTGTACGATACCAGTGAAGCCGTGTGATAAGACAATAATTTTCCTCCTCTGTGATCGTTTAGTTTGGGCTGAACTACCTACGAAAAACAACCACAGAGCCAGGTGAGCGGGGTTCCCCAGAGCATCCCCCTCCTCCTGGACTCCCCCTGCTCCCGCCGTCCTCCCGCCTCGTCCCCTCAGCAGACAGCAGCAGCAGCAGCAGCAGCTCCTCTCACTCTCAGAGTTTCGTCCTCTAATGAAGCTTTCCTCCAGTCTAGCTGGCAGTAAACAAAGTCCTGGGACGGCCAATCACGGGGCCTCCCGTGGGGAACGTTTCCATGGTAACAACCTCTGATGGGAGAGCGGGAGCTAGGCAGCGTGTGTGACGCAGAGAGGAGCAAGGCAGGTGTCTAACTACAGACCGGTCTCAGGAGGAAAACACTGAGGGTTCGACATGATTCTTTAAAACAAATTAAATTAAGGCCTGATCGGAGTTTTTCTACGTTCTGTCCGCTTATAAAATTCACCCTGTCATCTGAGCAGGATGAGGACCGCCGATTTTAGAGTATTTATAGTCGGGCTGTTCGGACCTAAAGTGCTGAAAAAACATCATTTTAAATCAGTTAAGTGCAAAAAACACAAAGAGGGAAAATAAAAATAAGTTAAAGCGTCATGTTTTAAAATACACGCAGACCGCAGTGTGAGCCTTTCAGGAGATCACTGTTTAATTCACTGAGTGAGTGAGAGTGTGTGTGTGTGTGTGTAATCCTCCTCCTGTGTCAGATGAGTTACGTAAACCAGGATTAGAGAGTTGAGATCTACACTGATGCTGTGACACCATCCGGCCTCTCCCGCTGTAAATACATCAACCAATCAGATCAAGAGTCTGAGAGCAGATGAGAACATTAACTCGAGCGCTCCGCTCCGAGTAATCCTGACGTCTATAAATCTGAGCTCCAGTTTTTTAAATATTTCAGGGAGAAAACGACAAAAAGGTTCAAAACTGTTTCAGCAGAGGAGACGATGAACGAATCAAGTAGAGTGATTCCTGCTGAGTCAGCCCGTCACTTCCTCTACGCCCGACGAATCTCAGCATTAAAAAAAAAAAAAAAAAAAAGGTTAAACTGAAATTTTTTAAAATTATTTGTGAGGTTTAATGAGTATTTCCAGTATTTGTTAGTTTTTAATAGTATTTGATAATTTTAGAAGTATTTCCAGTATTTGTCTGTTTATAAGAGTATTTCCAGTATTTATTTGTTCTAAGGAGTATTTCCAGTATTTGTCAGTTCTGAGGAGTATTTTCAGCATTCTTCAGTTTTACAGAGTATCTCCAGTATTTGTCAGGTTTATAAGTGTATTTCTAGTATTTGTCTGTTCTGTACAGTATATTCAGTATTTGTCAGTTCTGGTAAATATTTCCAGTATTTGTCAGTTTTATAAGAGTATTTCAGGTATTTATTTGTTCTGTGGAGTATTTTCAGTATTCGTCAGTTTTGATAGTATTTCCAGAATTTGACAGTTCTGAGGAGTATTTCCAGTATTTGTCAGTTTTTAGGAGTATTTTCAGTATTTGTCAGTTTATAAGAGTATTTCCACTATTTGTCAAGTTTGAGGAGCATTTCCAGTATTAATTTGTTCTGTGGAATATTTCCAGTATTTGTCAGTTCTACAGAGTATTTCCAGTATTCGTCTATTTAAGGAGTATTTCCAGTATTTGTCAGTTTATAAGAGTTTTTCCAGTATATGTCTATTTAAGGAGTATTTCCGGTATTTGTCAGTTCTGGTCAGTTTTTCCAGTATTTTTCAGTTTTTTTAAGGAGTATTTCCAGTATTTGTCAAGTTTGAGGAGTATTTCCAGTATTAATTTGTTCTGTGGAATATTTCCAGTATTTGTCAGTTTATAGAAGTATTTCCAGTATTTGTCAGTTCTACAGAGTATTTCCAGTATTTGTCAGTTTATAAGAGTATTTCCTGTATTCGTCTATTTAAGGAGTATTTCCAGTATTTGTCAGTTTATAAGAGTTTTTCCAGTATTTGTCTATTTAAGGAGTATTTCCGGTATTTGTCAGTTCTGGTCAGTTTTTCCAGTATTTTTCAGTTTTTTTAAGGAGTATTTCCAGTATTTGTCAAGTTTGAGGAGTATTTCCAGTATTAATTTGTTCTGTGGAATATTTCCAGTATTTGTCAGTTTATAGAAGTATTTCCAGTATTTGTCAGTTCTACAGAGTATTTCCAGTATTTGTCAGTTTATAAGAGTATTTCCTGTATTCGTCTATTTAAGGAGTATTTCCAGTATTTGTCAGTTTATAAGAGTTTTTCCAGTATATGTCTATTTAAGGAGTATTTCCGGTATTTGTCAGTTCTGGTCAGTTTTTCCAGTATTTTTCAGTTTTTTTAAGGAGTATTTCCAGTATTTGTCAAGTTTGAGGAGTATTTCCAGTATTAATTTGTTCTGTGGAATATTTCCAGTATTTGTCAGTTTATAGAAGTATTTCCAGTATTTGTCAGTTCTACAGAGTATTTCCAGTATTTGTCAGTTTATGGAATATTTCCAGTATTTGTCAGTTCTACACAGTATTTCCAGTATTTGTTAGTTTATAAGAGTATTTCCAGTATTCGTCTATTTAAGGAGTATTTCCAGTATTTGTCAGTTTATAAGAGTATTTCCAGTATTTGTCAGTTTATAGAAGTATTTCCAGTATTTGTCAGTTTATAAGAGTATTTCCAGTATTTGTCAGTTTATAGAAGTATTTCCAGTATTTGTCAGTTTATAGAAGTATTTCCAGTATTTGACAGTTCTGGTCAGTATTTCTAGTATTTGTCCGACTGTTTCCATCAGAAAAATCAAAGGTATTTTCTCGAACTCTTTCTCTGAGCTTTTTTCCACGGCTGAGTTTAAAGGTGGATTTGTTCAAACCTGTAAAGCAGAAACGCTTCAGTAACTGAACACAGTCAGTGTTTGTTCAGGGGCGGAAAATATTCACAAACACACACACACACACACACACACACACACACACACACACACACACACACACACACACACACACACACACACCAAAGTATGACAACAGAAACACTCACACTGATACACACACAAACACAGTTTCAGGAAGGGCTGGTCTCCTGCATCAGGACAGAAACCTGATCCACTCTGCTGTCAGAGGAAGACGAGGAAGACGAGGAGGAGGAGGAGGAAGCTCTCACTCAGATCTGAACACACATTAACTGCATCTTTAATTCCTGTGAAGACTACAAGCAGACAGACAGTAACACAGATTTATGAGTCCAAGTGTCACACATCTGCACACTCTCTACTGTCCAGCAGGGGGCGACTCCTCTGGTAGTCGAGTGAAAGTCTATAGGAGTCACAGTCTTCCTCAGAACATCATGATGTTCATTCAGGATATTAGGGTCACATTTAGAGTCACAGAGACCAGGAGTCATGGAGAGAGTCAGACCCTCTTCTGATGAACTTTATCCTTCACTGATTAATAACGATAAATATCTTTAATTACAGACGAACAGTTTCAGTGATTCGCTTTTCAGTTTAAACGTCCTGTCCTGCAATCCGTGCAACGACACCAGAGCCAGTTTAACTTCTGGGACTCAGTTAAACTACATCATCTTTAACATGAACACATCTGGTCAGGTCTTACTGGTCTCTGAGCGTGATGGAGGAGGAGGAGGAGTCAACATGAACGATGTACGAGGACATTTCCACAACATAAAGACGGCGAGAGACAAACGCTGGTCCTCGTGAACGCCATCACCTCGCCCATCTGCTTTCTGATCAGACTTGACCTGCTGCGCTCACACACCGACTCGACCACGTCACCCTGAGGTTTTACAGGAAAAAAAGGTCTGCGGAGAGTCAGGGTGGAACTTCACCAACACATCCATCCTTCCTGGAATATTCCTGCACGGAGCCTCGAGCTGAACCAGACTTAAAAACAGTCTCTGTAAATGAAGTTTGTCCATCACAGCCTGCCGTAGCGTCTCCGTCTCTGTGATGACTCTGCAGTTTAAAACTCAGAGAAACTCGTCCAGAGCAAAGCCTCATTATTTTCACAGCAAAGAAAGAAAGAGAGAGGATTCACACACACACACACACACACGCGCAGACACACACACACACACACGGTCCTACCTGAACCTGAGCGTTTTGGAGAGCTGAGCTATTCGAGCTCTGCGGAGGAGAGACGACGAGCCGTCCATCAGGAGTTTGAGCTCAGAGCTGACTGATGATGACGGGGAGAGGCTGAGTGTGTGTGTGTGTGTGTAAAGCATTATCCTCCTGTCCAGCTGGCTGACATTCTGTGGCGCGCACACACACACACACGCACAAACGCACACACACATACACACACACACTCTGAGGCTGCATCAGTCCAGTCTAACATGTGAGCAGAAACGCTCTGAGGTCAGAGTAACAGGAAGTGTTTTTTCATCCCTGACTCTCCGATATAAAATAATTCACAGAAGAAGAGTTTATCCAGCGGAGGACGCCACTTTAATCCACACAGACGTCATCAAAACTGAAAAAAAAACATTAAAAATGTCCAATAATATTAAAATATTTAAACTAAACTATAGAGAAGAATTCAAAGATTCACAGAAGTAAACTAACTAATATATGTTTTTATACTAAATATACTTGAGTGCATAATAATAATAATAATTCTGAATATTATAACACTGGTTATTATTATAATATACTAATAATGATAAAAAGTAACCTGTGTAGTGTTGAGCAGATATATTTGTGTTTAATATGGAGGTTTTTACACAGATCTTTATTATTTATACTTATAGATTTTTTTTTTCAAATATCTTCTCAAACTGTTTATTTTGACAATCATATGTTTGTGTAAATTTATCTTTGACGTGTACAGATGTTTGAAGTACAGACGGATTATTTTGTTTGTAGTTGTTTTTTTAGGGCCCGAGCTGGCAGCAAAGCTGGATTCTGTATTATTATTAATATTGTTATTGTGACTATTATTATTATTATTATTATTATTATTATTGTTGTTGTTATAATTATTGTTATTGTTATTTTTATTATTATTTTTGTTGTTGTAGTTATTATTTTTATTATAATTAATATTATTATTATTATTGTTGTTGTTGTTATTATAATTATTTTTATTTTTATTATTGTTATTATTATATAATTATTATAATTATTGTTGTTATTGTTATAATTATTGTTATTGTTAGTATTGTTATTGTTATTTCTATTATTTTTATTGTTATTATAGTTATTATTATTATAATTATTATTATTATTGTTGTTATTGTTATAATTATTGTTATTGTTAGTATTGTTATTGTTATTTATTATTATTTTTATTGTTATTATAGTTATTATTATTATAATTATTATTATTATTGTTGTTACTATAATTATTGTTATTTTTATTATTTTTATTGTTATTATTGTTATTATTATCATCATTATTATTAGTCCGAGGTGGACCAGGGTTAGTCTGAGGTGGACCCTGCAGGTCTGATTCAGCTGAACCAGTTTCAGGTGTAAGAACTTGTGAGAGGATCTCTGTGAGACTCTTTGGATCTAAACTCCTCAAATCTGTCTGCAAACTGAGAAGAGGAAAGTGACCCGCAGACGGAGAGAGGAGTCAGTCTGCCAGTAAAAGCTCCTCCAGTCAGTGCTGGGAAGTCTGGGCGGGTTAATGGAAGGAGGAAGAAGATGAAGATGAAGAGGAGGAAGACTAACCCACAAAAGAGGAGCGATTTATCCTTCCTCTACAAGACTGCTGTGATTAAACTACCATCTGAGAGACAAAGACTGAGGGACTGACAGAGGGACAGACTGAGGGACAGACTGAGGGACAGACTGAGGGACTGACAGAGTTCATCTTGGGTCGAGCAGGAAGAGCAGGACCCAGAACCAGAACAGGAAATGAGTCCTAATACGACGCGCTGTCACTGCTGCTCTGTGTCACTTCGAGAACAAAGAGCAGCTTCAGTCTCTGTGTGATAACCAACCACAGAGTCACAGAGAGTCACATGACCTCAGGACCGCTGAGGCTGAGCGTGGACATGGACCTGGACAGAGATGGACAGATCTCCAGGACGAGTCTGTCCATGACTCTCACACACACACACACACACACAGCAGTGAGTGTGTAAGGAGGTTACCTGTCAGCGTCGGCGGGTCGCAGCGAGGGCAGTCTGAAGCTGGTGTTCCGGTCCAGTTTGGTCTGACTCTTGGTCCTCTTGATGGAACCTTTGAGACGTTTACTGAAGAACCCCTGAGAGAGTGAAGAACAGGAACCAAAGATCAGACCGTGGAGGTCAGCTGATGAAATCAAGTCCAGTTTCAGAGACGATGAGGAGTTAGAGGAGTTCTTAGAGGAGAACAAACACCTGAACTCTCTCTGTATGCAGACGATCCTCTGACCTCCAAAAACTCTCTTCAGTTTTTGTACAAATATGAAACTAACTCTGGTTTTTGTTTATTTCTTATTTTCTGCTTTAGTGTTGAAGAGCGAGTTTATAATGAAGACAGAAAAACAATCAATAACAGGATCAATGATTATGATCAATCTATCAGATAACTGAAACAGATTAGAAACAGGAGTGAAACAGTGAAGAGAATAAAACAGTTCAAAGGAAGGGCATCCAGCCTTAACCCTCAGGAATAACCCAGACCGGCTGTGTCCTCATCCTAACTCCTAACTCCTCTCCCCTGTCTCCTCCCTCCTAACTCCTCTCTCCTAACTCCTCTCTCCTCTGGTTCAGATGGAGGTGGAGCGTACAGTCTAAGCTGGTGGAGGTCATCTTTAGTCTCTCTCTGTCTCTCTCTGGTTCTGTTTACTGGTACCGACCCCTCTGGTTCTGGTTGTTCTGGTTCTGACCCGGTTTCTTCACTGAGCGCTCTGAAAATAAGAAACTATCTTTACTCCGTCGATCAACCCGATCACATCTATTGATGATTATTTCTGACAGTCAGCTGAGAGCGTTAACCATCCTGTCGGCGCCGCTCCACCTCCCAGCATGCTCTCTGCCTGTGTCAGCTGTATGAAGAGACCCTCTGAAGTCAGACTGAGACTAAAAATAGACACTGAGACGACGACGACCCGTGAAGCTTCAGCGCAAACTTCCTCTGATTCACGACACCCTGACACACACACACACACACACACACACACAAACACACACACACACACACACACACATCTTTAATTCGACACAACAATGACGAAGAGGCCGTGAGTTTGTTCAACAGAGCGCCAGAGAACCAACGAGAAAAACGATTATTCAGGTCTGAGCGACACGAACGAACACACACCTCTGTTCTCAGAGATACACACATGTACACACTTGATAATCTCTGTGTTTCTGTTTGATACTGAAACAGTTTAACATGATAATAATTTATAATTTTCTCTTTAAAGGTGGACTAGTCAGGAATCTGTTAAAGAAGCATCTATTTTTGTGGTTTTAATACAAAAACTCTTCTAATATCAGTCAATAGTTATTAGTTATTGATTATTTGGTAATATATCGATATCTCTGTGTTCTCTTATGTCTGTGTCGTCAACATTTGAACATTTCTGAGCGGTCCGCTCTTTCTGACTGTAAACAAAGCCGTTCTCCACCTCCTCTAACCTGATTGGTTGTGAGGCAGACGCTGCTCCCCCGTGTCGTTCAGGAGCCCAAACAAAGTTAGCGTGCTACAATATCGGACAGTAGAAACCAACCAGAAAGTTCGGAAAATTGTCTGAATTAGGGCCCGACCGATATGGATTTTTTGGGGGCGATTATCAGGGAGGAAAAAATCCGATTACCGATTAATTGGCCGATTTTTAAAAGTTTTTAATAAGTTTAAAAATTTTGTTAATTTAATTAATATATCTACATATTTACTGATTTTTAGCTGCTTTTGTGTCTTTCAAACACGTCTCAGTAACTTGAACCTCATTAATGTTCCACGTATTTATCATGAATTTTTAACTAGTAGTTAGTGGATGAAGATTGTCACGAGGTCACTGCGCCATCTACAGGATAAGGCGGGGAACTTTTCAAATGGCGGAACATTTTTGAAGTGAAACCGAATTTTATCCTCTGCGTTTTATTTCTGAAAATATTGGCGTCAATCAGCGAGTTTTGGCCGATTACAGATTCAGGCTAAAACTGTTTTTCATATTGAGTGCAGAAGTCCAGATCTTGTCTGTTATAGACTCTCTCATGTTTCCTTCCCGGTTCTGCAGCAGCTCCTGATAAACCTTAAAAACAAACATTTTTAAACTCCTGTCGAACTTTAACCTCAGGTGGCTCAGAGTTTCAGAGATCCTGGACTCTTCAGAACCCTGCAGAAACCTCTGGGTGAGGTCTGACTCCTCCTGACCTCCCGGTGACTCTCTGACTCGTTTCCTCCGGCGCTCGGGAACACCAAGCGTTTATTTTTAATCACTTTAGCAGGTCGTGTCTGTTTTGCGTCTCCTCTCACAGCTTGTCTGACTCAGTCGATCACAGCCTCTCTCCCGGCTCGCTCGCGCTCACACGCTCTCTCACGGCGGCAGACGGTTAGCGTTAGCGTGTCGTCGACCAGCGTGAGGCTTCAGAGAGAAACACAGAGTCGGGTTTGGCCTCCTGACAGCTGGATGTGAGACGTGTCAGCGGCAGCAGAGACGAGCTAAAAATAGATCAGACATGAAGACATGGAGAGCAGCTCACTGATGCCGCCACACGTCAGGCTGACTCTGGAGGTACCTGCGGCGTTCTCAGCTCCGTCCTGAGGGACTGAAGCACCTGGACTCTCGTGTTCAGAGGACATGGAGGTGGAGCTCTTACTGTCTAAATATGCAGGGACTCGGTTTGAACCATGAAATCAAGAGTATCATCTGTCAGGACTAAACATCCTCCTCCTCCTCAGAGCTGGAGTGAGCTCATGGTGGAGCTCCTCGCCTCTGTGCGACTTTAACCCTGACAGGATGTTCACAGTTATCCCCAATTTCCAACGCATCCAGAACGGCGGCGATTTTTGCTGTACGCCAATTCCTACTGGATCCGTTTGTCAAGTGAATTTCATGGCGGATTACAGACAGCAGGAATCACAAGAACGCGATAACGAGTCGTCTCTATAAAGACAGACACATAGACATATAAGCAGTAGATTGTGTCCTTCCAGAGGAGGAAATCTACTTCTAGACTTCTAGAATCAGCATCTCCTCATCCATGGTGTCATCGGGGTGAAATGACGTCTAAAAACCTGAAAAAGTAGTAGGAGTAGGAGTTTTTCCTGATTTTAGAGGTTTATACACCAGCTGTCTCATCTCCAGTGTCTCATGATCACGGTCGGATCAGAGCGTCCCTCACACTCACTGACCACCTTCACAGACTCACCGGCACTTTAAAAGGAGACGAGTTTGGGTTGTCCACAGTGACGGTCTTTTCCGAACTCCCCAGACCGGAGATACTCCTCCTCCTGGGAGAGCGCTCCGAAGACACTTCTGCTGAGACACACACACACACACACACACACACACACACACACACACACACACACACACAGACAGAGATGGGTTAACACATGGAGTCTCTTTCTTTGTCATCATCATTATCATCCTCATAAATATCATCATCATTGTCATTGTCGTCATTTTTATCACTACCTCTTCATCCTCATTATCATCATTCACATCATCATTCTCATCACCATCTTCATCACCATCATCATCCTCATTATCATAATTATTATCATCATCCTCATCACCATCATTCTCATTATCATCCTTTTATTACCATCATGATCATCCTCATAACTGTTTTCACTATCATCCTTATTATCATCATCATCATTATCATCCTCATTCTCATCATCATCATCCTCATCAGCTGTCGATCTCTCAGTCTGAGACAGACAGATGAAGGACGAGGTGAATCATTCGACAGAGGAGAGACGACAGATCGTGTTTGTTCGACGTCAGCGACTTCCTGCAGAATCAAATTAACCAATCAGCAGCTGAGACCATGAGGGTTGGTCTGACATCATCACATAACTCACACTTCAACATCTGAGCTTCACTCCTGACATGGAGGTCCATGAAGTCCCTGTGCCCCCCCCCTCCATCTCTCAGACTGAAGTGTGTCAAGGACAAAGACACCCAGAGTCCCACACCAGCAGCCCCCTGACCTCCTGAGAGCCTCCAGCTCCAGATAGAGATCTGTGTCACCTCCAAACTGGACGGACAGTCATACCCTGAAGAGGTCCTGGTTTAGAGAGACCCCCCTCAGACCTCAGGGTCTCTGCGTGCTGGTCCTGGTAAAGCAGTAAAAGGCCACGTCCTCAGGTCTGGCTCTCATCCAGCCTCATCGATTTTACAGCTAATTTTAGACCCTCTTCCTTCCTCTCCTGCTAACCCCTCAGCCTGCGTGTCTCAGGTTGTTGAAGTGGGTCTCCTGAGGCCTGAGCGGCTCCTGGATCAGCTCTTAAACCACCGACCAGTCTGCAGGCTGCAGGGACGGTCCAGACTCCAGGAAGCTGAAAATAACTCCTCACTTACGACAGCAGCGTCAGCCACGGTGACGGTGGATCATCTCCAGAGGGCCAGAAAAAGAGCCTGAACAGACCGGGACCAGGACCGAGACTAAGACCAGGACAGGTTTAAAGACTCAGTGTAGGAGTGAAGATCTTTGATCAGACTCAGAGAAAGTCAAAGAAATAAAGATTTTAAAAAGTTTCATCTTTGTGGAAACCCTGGACCACCTGACTGTCAAACCAGATTCTGACCACAGGGATTAGACCAGCAGGACTCTGGTGGAGGAGGGTCCTGGACTGATGTGGTCCTGAAGACATCTGGAACATCAGGACTCCAAAAACACCAGAAACAGGACCAACTCAGCTCAGAGTCCTGATTCAGATTCAGATAAAGGTTTATGACATTATTGATCTGATGATATCTGACTGATTTACTTTAGCTGTAGATCAGTCATGGAGGAACACATCATCATTACCACCATCATCATCATCAACATCATCATCATTATCATCAATCATCGTTTCATCATTATCATTCTCATAATAATCATCATCATTCCTATCATCATCATCATCATTGTTGTCTTTATTCTTATCATCAGTTTCATTTTCATCATCCTCATCATTCTTGTCATTGCTATCATCATCATCATCTTCATCAGTCTCATTATCACCATTCTTATCCTCATTATCAGCATTCTCAATACCATCATCATCATCATCATCATCATCATCATCATCCTCATTTCATCTTCATTTTCATCTTATTTACTTTGATTATAGATCAGTCATGGAGGACGACAGAGCGTCGCCTTTATCAATCAAACAGAAACAGGAGGAGCCTGACGTGGTCGAGGTCAAACTCTTAACGTCAAACATCAAACACGTGCGGACACATCAAAACTACAGAGATCCTTCAGTCCTGGTTTTCCTCCCCTCATCATCATCATCATCATCATCATCATCATTCTCACTTAACCATCATTATTATCCTCACTGTCATCATCATTATAATTATCATCATCGTCATTGTCCTTATCACCATCGTTATTATAACCATCATTCTCATTCTCATCATCATCATCATCATCATCATCCTCATCTTCATCCTCATTTTCATCTTATTTACTTATTATTCTAAATCAGTCATGGAGGACGACAGAGCGTCTCCTTCATCAATCAAACAGAAACAGGAGGAGCCTGACGTGGTCGAGGTCACAAACGTCAAACATCGTAAACGTGCGAATGCTGCAGATATCAAAACTACAGAGAAATCTATGAAACAGACAAACTCAGAAAATATCAACAATGAACAGAGCTGATCTCAACTCCACAGGGGTCCAAACATGAGCTCTGTGTGTGTGTGTGTGTGTGTGTGTGTGTGTGTGTGTGTGTGTGTGTGTGAGTTGATCCCCCAGTAAATCACAGATCATTCAATCATGTCAATCCTCTATTGGCTGTTGAACACTAACTAAACACTCAGATCATCAGTCGATACTGCGGATCAATAACACACGGACCCTCAGAGATCAGAGGAAGTTCACTGCAACACGGAGAGCTGAGAGTTCGGAGTGTCAGTGAACGCAGCATGCAGCAGCAGTCAGCAGTTATCAGCTTTACAAAGTGCTGGATCGAGTTCCAGCTGCAGGGCGCTCGCCACATGCACACGCAGCGCCGCACGGAGCGCCGCACGGAGCGCCGCACGGAGCCGGGACAAACTTTCATGCACGGCCCTCCCCCTCATGAGGAAGAGGAGCGAGGATGTCCCACACAGAGGACGTCCTCGCTCTTCTTCTTCTTCGGGGGACAAAAGTTGAGGCGACATGCCGCAGGACGCCAGGTACGACAAGTGGTCACATGACAGAGAGACACAGAAACACAGAGAGAGAGAGAGAGAGAGAGAAAGAGAGGAGGAGACGGTACCTCGATCACAGCTGTTCCCCATCATCTGAGGAGGAGAGGACACACACACACACACACACACGGTCAGACGGGATTGGCCGAAGCAGCTGCCACCTGTCAGCCAATGAGGTTAAGATGCAAACATTCGTCTTCGTCCCGTGAACATCTTCGACTTTGGCGTCCCCCTCCTCCTCCTCCTCCTCCGACCTGCCTTTCCTTCCTCAGCACCGCATCCTCCTCCCTCTGCCTCTCTCTCTCTCTCTCTCTCCACTCAGCAGTAATTCTAACCCTTCCTCTCTCTCCCTCTCTCTCTCTCTCTCTCTCCACTCAGCAGTAATTCTAACCCTTCCTCTCTCTCCCTCTCTCTCTCTCTCTCTCTCTCTCTCTCTCTCTCGCTGAGGTTTTACCGCATTTATTCAATCAATCCCTCTAACTGCACTGTTCTGCTTTCTCTCCGTCCTCCCCTCTTCTTCTCCTTTCCTCCCTCTCTCTGCAGTCACTCCTCTCTCTCTCTCTCTCTCTCTGCAGCAGCTCAGTTGCATGCTCACTCCCTCCCTCCCTCCCTCCCTCCCTCTTTCCTTCTTTCCTTCCTCTCCTCCTCCTCCTCCTCTTTGGCAGCTACATTTATCTCTGCGCTCAGAGGATAATTACCAAATAAGTTTCCCCCTCAGCCGACTGATGTGGGACACAACTCTGGGGGCTTCAGCTATTAACTGAGAGAGAGAGAGAGAGAGGGAGGGAGAGAGAGAGAGAGAGAGAGAGAGAGAGAGAGAGAGAGAGTCCACTAACAGAGATACTGTTCAGTTTTAATCGCTCAGTTTACAGCTTCTTCATTTTCACGGTCTCCAGACGTTGGATCTAAACCCTCTTTGGACAGTCCTCCTCTGAACTTCTAACTGACAATCATTGTACTCGGTGTTAGTCCAGGCAGGCCACAAACTCAAGCTCCGCCCACATTAAACCAGCTGATCCTGACGCCAGCTGACCGATCAGCTGATCAACTTCAACCATCTGAAAACCAAAGTGTTAAAATATTCCTGATCAAACAACGTTAGCTCTAAACTAAAGGTCTGTAGACTAAAGGTCTGTAAACTAAAGGTCTGTAGACTAAAGGTCTGTAGACTAAAGGTCTGTAAACTAAAGTCTGTAAACTAAAGTCTGTAGACTAAAGGTCTGTAAACTAAAGGTCTGTAAACTAAAGTCTGTAGACTAAAGGTCTGTAGACTAAAGGTCTGTAAACTAAAGTCTGTAAACTAAAGGTCTGTAAACTAAAGGTCTGTAAACTAAAGTCTGTAGACTAAAGGTCTGTAGACTAAAGGTCTGTAAACTAAAGTCTGTAAACTAAAGGTCTGTAAACTAAAGGTCTGTAGACTAAAGGTCTGTAGACTAAAGGTCTGTAGACTAAAGGTCTGTAGACTAAAGGTCTGTAGACTAGTTCACTGTTTAATATTGATCTACTTTTGTTGTTCTGTTGAGTTAAAATGGTTTTTATATTTTTCTTAGTTTATCTTATTCTTTGTTTTTTACTCTGTATGTTAATAAAATGTTGAACTCATCTTTAGTTTCTTTAGTTTTTAGTACAGAGGCTTTAAAACTGACAGTTTAAAAAAAGATCGTGATAATAATCGAGATCGGACGATATGACGGAATATATCGTGATCAGTCCTAGTCTGTAGACACTCCTCCTACGTACCTTCTGTTTCACTGCCGATCATCTTTTACTCTACTTCCTCTCTCCTCCTAACTCCTTCCTCCTCCCTCCTTCCCTTGTCAGGCGGTTATTGATCAGAGGAGTCTCGGTTTAATCGATATATTTGGTGAATCCAGCGGCGTGTGTCTCCTCTGACAGACGCCGTGATGATGACCTTCACCAGCCTGGACGCTGTCAGACTGCAGATCCAGTTCAGACTGGAAACCAGCAGAGAAAGGAGGACATGACAGTAATAGAGACCCAGACTAAAGTAAGAACTCCTCTCTCTGTGGTGGGTCTCCCTCGTCTCACATGTGATCGGCATGACGTCACAGGCGGTTACAGGAGAGAGAAAGCGAGGCTGCTGTGATGTCACCGTAAAGCGGCGAGAGGAATGTGTAACGGCGGAAACGTGTCGGAGTTTCATTCATGAGTAGACACACCTGACAACAGGAGAAACACAACAGAGCTAATCTGAGAGTGAATGAGCTCTTTGTGTGGGAGCGACTGGGTGCAGCTCTGACAGACGGACGGACGGATGGACGGACGGGGTTTAGAGTTCAGATCCACGAGAGCCTGAAGGCACGGCGGCGGTTTACAGTCAGGACTGTCAGACCGGACAAAGAGCGGCTGCTAACGAGCGATTGAGCTCATTACAGAGGGATTAAGAGTCTGTCAGTGATGTTATTATAGATTATTAAATATGAGATTATTCAGACAGAACTCGTCCGCTCACAGCTGATTTACGGTTCGATGTCTGAACTCTCAGCTGATCAGGCCTCCAGAGTCAAACCTGTTAACACGTCTGTAACTCCACAACAACAACAACAACAACAACGACGATTAACCACAACAAAGACTCCGTCAGTCCTCCTCTTTAACAGATACTCAGAGAATGTCTCCTCTCATAATCAGAGCGCTTGTGTTTACCGACGCCTCCTCTCACATCTCCTCACATTCCTCCCTGCTCCTTCATATTCATCAGATCTGCTGCCTTCACCACAGTCCCATCATTATTCTGACCCACACGCTTGTTTACACGAGGCTCGGTTCTGCTGGATCCAAACACGATCCGAGTCTTTGCTGAACTAGATCTCCAGGTTTAGGAGGATCAGGACTCTGGAGGTGGAGTCTCCGCATGGGTTTAGAACTCTCTTCTGGAAAGGACAACTGGACTAGATCTAGAAATCATAGATGCTGCATCCTCGGTTTTAGACAATATCTCCAGGTTTAGGAGCAACATCTGCGTCCATCCAGGAGACAGAATCAGTCCACTGTGTCGCCCGCCACGAGGACGCCGTTCTCATTAATCCGCAGACACAAATCAAACCTGCAGCCTCGTTAAGACACACAGACTTTTTAAAAAAAGAGCGGTATGTCCCTTTAAAGAGAGCGAGCTCACACACAGACATCCTCAGACGATCACAGAACAACCTGAAGATAATTTGGGACACAATGATCTAATTAGGTCTGAGCTGAGGACAGCTGGAGCGCCACAATCCAGGGTAACCGCCGCCGCAGCAGCAGCAGCGGCGTCCGCTAATGAGAGCGGGGAGCGTGAGTGATGTGATTCACACACACACACACACACACACACACACACACACACACACACACACACACACACACACTGAAGTTCAGCTGAAACTGTCTGCAGGTCAAAGGTCGCTGTCTGTAAGGAAATATGACATCACAGCCTCAGAGGGAGGAGCTTAATCCATGAATACAAGGTCAGTGAAAACAGGAGGATCACCTGACCATCAGGAGGAGGAGAGGAGGAGAGGAGAGGGGAGAAGAGAGGAGAGGAGGAGAGAAGGAGGAGAGAGGAGGAGGAGAGAGGGGAGCAACAAAAGGAGAGAAGAGGAGAGGAGGAGAGGAAAGAGGAGGAGAGAAGGAGGATAGGAGAGAGGAGAAAGAAGAGGAGAGGAGAGGAGAGAGGACAGAGGAGGAAAGAGGAGAGAGGGGAGCAACAGAAGGAGAGGAGAGGAGAGAGGAGAAAGAAGAGGAGAGGGGAGGAGAGAGGAGAGGAGGAGAGAAGGAGGAGAGAGGAGGAGGAGAGAGGGGAGCAACAAAAGGAGAGAAGAGGAGAGGAGGAGAGGAAAGAGGAGGAGAGAAGGAGGATTGGAGAGAGGAGAAAGAAGAGGAGATGAGAGAGGACAGAGGAGGAAAGAGGAGAGAGGGGAGCAACAGAAGGAGAGGAGAGGAGAGAGGAGAAAGAGGAGGAGAGGGGAGGAGAGAGAAGGAGGAAAGGAGAGGAGGAGAGAGGAGGAAAGAGGTGAGAAGAAGGGAGGGAAGGAGAGGAGCGAGGAGAAGAGGAGAGAGGAGAGGAGGAGGGAAGAGAGGGGAGTAGAGGAGAGGAGAGGAGGAGAGAAGAGAGTAGAGGAGAGGAGAGGAGAGGAAAGGAGAGTAGGAGAGAGGAAAGAGGTGAGAAAAAGGGAGGGAAGGACAGGAGTGAGGAGAGAGGAGAAAATGAAGAGGAAAAGAGGAGACATTTTTGCTAATTATCCTCTTGTCAGATTTGAATTAAAGGAGCATAGATGTGCAGAAATGAGAATCTTTGTTGACATCTACAGTGATCTAGTTCTAGACTGAACTGCTTCTCCTTTAGAGGAGACTACGGTGGCCTTTAAGGACAAATCTGATCCTCCTTTTGTCAAGTTTCACCTCCGTACTAATCATTTCTGCGTCTTTCTCTCAGGCTGTCACTCCACAAATACAAACATGTTTACACGTTTGTCCACTCTGAGCCACCGTAGAAACATGACAATGTAAGATGGCTGCCCCCCCCACTGCTCCTGTGTTTGTATGAAGACTCATTCAAAGTTAATAAAAACTAAAGTTTGTATTTTTATATATCATAAAACATTTATCCAAACAGACTTTATATTATATGTTTTATATTTTAACTGCACTGAGTCTGTTCTGCTGAATCATGACTAATATCACTGACTGAAGCTTTAAATGAAGGTTTTAGTCATTATTAGAAGTTTGGACTAAAACAAAACAAACCTCACTGTTTTCACTCTCCTCTAAATCTGACCGCTCTTATTAATAATTAAAGAAACTTTTGGCGGATTAACACTGAATAAAAATATCATTTATTTGCATTTAAATCCAGAATAATTAAAAATAAACTTCAGGAACAAAGTGAGAGGAAATATAAAACCACCATAGATACTGAACTTCTCTGTTTTTGTTTGATTCAGACTCTGGTGGGAAACTTCTCCACACCTGTTCCTCTCCTGCTGCATCCTCAGCCTCTTTTAATCGATTAATCGACCCCTCAGACTGTCATCGATTAGTCAGGTTAAACTCTGATTCATAAACAGGTTCACTCCTGTTTCTGTCTCGGACCTGCAGGTTGCAGTGGGGCGGACACTCCTCCTACCAACTTCTTCACGCGCGTTTTTAACCTACTTCAAACACACCGACGTGCGGAGAGCGCGCGGGCAGCAGCGGGTAGAAACACCTGAGGAGGTTTTAAAGAAGGTCAAACTGAGACAAACTCACCGAAAAAGTCCATCCGAGCTCCTCAACTCCTCATGTCCGCTCACACTAACACTCTCATTCAGTTTCAGGCTGTCCGCAAACAACTTAACACACACACTTCCGGCTACGACTTTCAGAATAAAAGCACAAATGGTTAAACTAGAGTGAGAAATCCCACCAAATATTATACAGACTGAGATACAGAGCAAATTAATGTGAGTTTAATCATTTCTAATAATCAGTTTAGTCAGGTACAGAGGCTGACATGACCTGATTTTATTTATATGTTATTAAAAAAACTTTATTTTCATCTACAGTTAACTTCTAATAAACCCAGAACTATCTTTAACGGAGCTTTATTTACTCTTACAGTTAATTCATGTTTAATTAACAATAAAATCTGTGTTCAGGTTTATTTTTCACACGCTCCTCTTTGTCAAACCGAATTATTTTGCTGTTAATGGATGAATGGAAACGTTTCATGGGGCTTTTATTTTGAAGGGAGGGCTTCAGGATGTGTGGGGCTTTATTGTGGTGGTGCAGGCAGGTGGAGAGAGCAGACTGAGGAATGCAGCAGATCCAGAGTCAGCCGAGCTTCACCTCAGACACACACAGACAGAACAACCGAGGACAGACACACACACAGACAGACACACAGACAGAACAACTGAGGACAGACAGACGGACAGAAGGACTTCAAATAACTACCTGAGGATTTCTACATACAGATAAATTTATGATTATTAAATCTAAAACACAGAGGTTTTCCTGGTCTCACATTTGAGTTTCTTCACCCTCATAATAAAAACTCAAAGTCACTCCCAGTAAATAGACCGAGCCCAACCGCTGCCCCCAGACTGTAGACGTCTGCACTGAGTCATATTTAACCTGTGATCAGTGACATCACCTAGTGACATCATGACCTCCATTTTTAGTAAAAGTGTAACAGACCGAGGAGGAGCAGGAGGAGGAGGAGGAGGAGGAGTGGAGACGGTAAATGAAGGTCTGTCAGCGCTATAATCAGACTGTAACACCAACAACAACAACAACAGAGGACTGAAATGACAACTCTGCTGCTCGACCACAACGATCAAAAACACGGGAGAGAGAGAGAGAGCAGAACTACGAGAAGAAGAGGAAGAAGAAGAGGAAGAAGAGGGAGATACTGGAGTTCACAGTTCCTGTTTCATTATTAAACTTCAGGTCAGACCGAACCTCCAGACCGCTTCAACAAACTAAACTCTACATGAACTCAGATCCAACGATACAAGTGGAATAAATCAGACGGGAGAAACCCAGCAACAAAGAATCAGGAATAAGTTTATCTCTGATTCTGAATTAATCCAGAACAGAGGTCAGAATAAGTCTGGGTTCAATTAAAAGAATAAACGATCAAATCAAGAACAAATCTGGTGTTAAAGCCAGAATAAATCCAGGATCCAGGTAAAAACAAATCCAGTATCAGAGCAGGAATAAATCTGATGACAAAAAACAGAATTAATCCAGTATCAGAACCAGAATTAATCCAGTATCAGGTCTTGTGTCAAAACTGGAATAAATGCAGGATTAAAGTCTGATGTAACTGAGTATCAAAGCAGAAAATCAAAGTGGAACCAAATCCAGAATAATTCAGGTACCACAACAAGAATAAATCAATCCGAGATCTCATATCGAAGCCGGAATAATCTGGTCACATCACCAGAAACAATCCAGAACTAAAACCAGAATAAATCTGATATTATACGCGGTAATTATCTGGTACTACATCGAGAATAAATGTAGTGTCAAACTCAGTATGATTCCAGTATTTTACCCATAATGCACTGAGTATAACCCCGACATAAAACCCCAAAGTAATCCAGTTTTTAGCAAGTATCAGTTACAGATTCGATCAGGGATCAATCAGTGAAATTGATCAGTACCAGTTCATACAAATCCTTTAAAATCCAGTAGAAAATACTCCACAGCTCCTGCCTGGAGGAAGCTGAGATGAAACTGGAGTTAAACTGGTGTGAAATCCAGTGTTTATGAACCCAGTATGAACCCTGCTGCATGGTTCCTGGATCCAAACCAGAACCGACTGTTTATCTAGACCCGGGCCAACTTTAAACCAAGAGTTCAGACTGAAAAACAAAATAAAATCTCTTTTTTATTCACGTCTGACAGCATGAAGACACAAAAAACCTGTAGTTAAATCAAGACTGATCAGGTATTGATCGAAGTCTGATTATTGAACAGTTACAACCCTCACCCTGATCAAATCAAAGTTTCAAACCAAGAGTGATCTAATCCCAGAACAAACCCAGTCTAATCCCAGTATAAACCCGGTCTGAACTGGTTGTTGGAAGCCTGTTTGTGTGGGCAGAGGGGGCACATTAACATATAAATAACCTCCTCCCCCCTCTGCTGCTGGGTGGCGGGTGAGGAGGGGGTGAGGGGGGGATTAAGGAGGTCAGAGAAAGAAAGAGTTCCTCTGTAGCTGAAGGAGAAGGACTGGGGGGTCTGTCAGTCTGATAACTGATCAATAATCTGATCACTGAGACTAAACTCTGGATTAAACTTTAAAATAAAACTCAGTTGTTTTTTTCCAGAAGTCCTCCTGGAGGTGAACGCAGACCTGGACCCCTGCAGCTCAGGGTGGGAATCCCCTCAGCCCAGGCATCCCAGCGGGGGCAGCGGGGGCAGCGGGGTCAGCGGCGCTCCTTCAGACGGGCGGATGGACACTGGACGCTTTGTCCTCCAGACATTCCCCAACCACGGCGACGTTCCCACACAGAGCAGGAAAATTACAGGCTGCACCCGAACGCATCATTATGGCTGAGAGAAACATCCACCTGATACTGAACCGAGATCTCCAAACTCAGACCGGGATCAACTCAGGAGGACCGAAAACATCTAAAAACAGCAGACTCTTAAACTCACGTCTGGATCTTTGGAGACACCGACAGAAACTTAGAATAAATCAGAACAAAACAAAACCCAGAGAGAGCAACAATAAAGGCTTTGAAAAGACAGTTTCAGACCCAGTTTAAACCCAGGATTAATTCACCACTGACCCAATAAACCCAGGTCCAAATCCAGAATTAATACAAAACCAATCCTGGTTTAAACTCTGAATAAATCCTGGGATAACTATGGTAATAAATCCAGACCGTTACAAAACAAACACATTTCTAGTTTTAAACAAAGATTTAAATCAGAGTCACAACAAACAAAAATACTGTGTTAAACCCAGATTAATCCCGGACCAAAGACAGAACAGAGTTTTAAACCTGGATGGAGAATCCAGAGTCAAACCAGAATAAATCCTAAACATATCTGTAGCAAACCCCAGGATAAATAAATTAATACTTGGAATATATCCAGCATTAAACCCAGATAAATCCAGGATAAATCCAGGATAATCTGGTTTCAAACCTGAGATAAATCTATCTTTAATCCTGTTAAATCCAGAATCAGAACCAGGACAAATCAAGTTATCAAACCTTTTTTAGTTCACGGTGGGACTCAAAATATATTCACTATTGAACCAAGACAGAGCCAGCGTTAAACTCAGAATCTACCCAGCAACAAACCCAAATTTAATCCAGTTAACTGGATTTAACCCAGTAAAGAACCTACAATTAATCCAATGAATGAAATGTAGAATTAATCCTGCAACAAACCCCAACTAAACCCAGAGTGAAATAATCCAGTATGAACCCCAAAACAAATCCAAAACTCAACCCAGGAGTCCTCAAAGTATTTTCACATAAACCCAGACTAAACGGAGAATAACCCCAGATTAAATCCAGACTAAACTGAGTCGTTGTGACAGTATCTATCAGGGAATAAGTGGTTAATCCAGCTTTAGTTTCAGTGTTTACTCAGTGTAAACAGTCTTCAGTATCAAACCCAGATTAAAGTGACTCTCTTATAAAGCAGCACAGATATGATCCTGTTCAGACTGCTGTAAACTCTGAACCAGATCCACTCTGACCTTCTGCCTGGAAAAACTCTCCAAAACTCCAGGAGATTCCAGGAAATCCAGTCAGATCTCATGTGAAAGTTGTTTTTGGACTCACTGCTGCTCTCATTTCCACTTTCTGTTTCAGCAGGACGCAGCGCCACGCAGCAGCATTGACAACAACTGTTTGTTGTCATGGTAACGACACGCCCTCTCCACACCCCTCCCCTGGTCCTTACCTAACACGGCAGCGCCCTCTGCTGGGAAGTCTGGGAACTGTCCCTCTGAGGGGACGCTGACAGTCCTGCGGAGACTCCGAGCCTTGGCCGAGTTTGAGGGACTTTCCTGAGTCTCACCTGCAACCTGGGGGGGGGAGACAGAGAGAGAGAGAGAGAGAGAGAGAGAGAGAGAGAAGGGGGGGGTGAGTGACAGGACTGATTGATCAATCTTCAGTTCAATCAATGAAATAAAAAGGTTTGACAACTTCCAGACACACTTCTCTGTCCCTGTGTCCCCGTCTGTTCCTGTGTCCCCCCGTCTGTGTCTGTATGTCCCTGTTTTTGTGTCCCTGTCTGTGTCCCCCGTCTGTGTCTGTATGTCCCCGTTTTTGTGTCCCTGTCCCTGTGTCCCCCGTCTGTGTCTGTATGTCCCTGTTTTTGTGTCCCTGTCCCTGTGTCCCCCCTGTCTGTGTCCTGACCTCTTCGTCCTTGTTGAGCAGGATGAGCTGGCTGTCCGTCAGGATGCAGAACTTCCTGTCCCAGGCTCTGCTGTCGGTGTACGGACTCTGTCCACAGGAGAACCGGTGCGCTGGAGGACCTTTGACATCTGAGGACAGAGACAGTCCAGGTCAAACCACATGGACACACCCTCACAGAGACACCAGAACCAGAACAGAGCAGAGACCCAGTTTGACTGTCCCCGACAGGTCTGATGGGGATCTATGAGGACTGAAAGGACGGTGCTGACAGATCCACATCAGGACTCAGATCTGGGAAAGGTGGGTCTACAAGTGGGAACTCTAAATCCAGATCTTTGCTCTGAACCGGTCTGAAATGAAGCTCTGAAAACGTAGAAACACAGACGTTCCTGTCTGACCTCAGAAAGTCAGTAACTTTTTATTTTTATTTTCATTTATTCCAGCCGAGCTAATTTCTCAATTTCACATCACAACGTTTCTTATCCATCGGTTGGAAGGGAGCAGGGAGAAGACACGTCTTATATTACCTAACCCCCTCACTCAAAGTCGATCAGTTCTAATAATCGATCACTGAGCAACATTCAACATTGAGGTCAGAGTTTATCCCAACACCTGAGCTTCAGTGTTTCCTGTTAATAAACTCTTAAAAAGCTCAAAATGTGAAGGTGTGTGACGTTACTATAATTATGATAAATCTATAAAAGTTGAACTTTGATGACCTGAGGACAAACGTTCAAAACAAAACCACTCCAGACAGAAACTCGAGTCACTGACAGATTTATTAAAAAACAAAAACAGGGTAATCGTAGATTTACTAAAGAGGAGGTGGACTCATGATCACATCAGACTTTAATTTCATCCTTTACTCGGACCGTGGCTTTAACAAACATTCACTGTGACAGCTGAAACGTTAACGGGGAAGAAAAGCAGTTTTTCAGTTTTAAATGGATCTGAAAGGATGGTGAAAACATGGAAGTGCACTAATTCAAAAACACAGAGGTTGTAACATCAGATTCTGACTTTTCCTCTGAGAATTCTCTGAATTCTGAGTTTGTTAAACTCCTTTTAAAGACAGAACTCTTATTTGTGTTTCAGAAAGATTCTGAGATTAAAGTCATAAATCTTTACATCTGTGCTCTCACTGGGAAATTTGTGAGTAAATACAGATTTTAGACTTTCTTTAACTTCAGGAGAGTGTCAGAGTTCTGACTTGTTTTCTTCAGTGTCTAAATTTAAAGTCTCAAATCTTTCTTCTTGGACTGGATTCACAATTCTTTCTTTTTCTCTGTAACTCTGAGCATTTATTTAGAATTCAGATTTTTTTCTGAGAACTTTTGATCAAAGTCAGAATCTTTTTTTTTCACTGCCAGGATTCTGGGGGGGGAAAAAACAAATTAGGAAAGTAACCTGGATATAAGAAAAAAAAAACAGAATTCTGACTTTGGCACCAGGATCCTGATTTAAAAATCAGAACACAGAGATTAATCTGACTTTGACTTCAGAACTCAGACTCTAAAATCAGAATTCAGACTTTCCTGAGAATCTGATATCTGAGACAAAATTCTCACTTTAGAATTCTTTTAAAAAATCTGAATTCTGACAAACAGACTTTTTTTTAGTAGTCTGTATCCTCCTTCGTCAACGGTTCAAAGACTCGCTGTAGCCGGTTTTCAATTAAAGAGAAAAAGGATATTTTTGAGCTCAAATACAAGATGACGTTTAAACATAAAATGAAAATCATCAAAATCATCCTTAAAACTAAGTCATGGAAAGAAAGAAAGAAGAGTATCATCATCATCAACAATATAAACATCATCATCCTCATCATTATCATTACCACCATCATCATCATCATTATCATAGTAATCATCATCATCAGTCATTAACACTACCACCATTATCATCACCATCTTCATCATCATCATCATCATCATCATCATCATCATCAGCCATAAACACTATCACTGTTATCATCACCATCTTCATCATCATCATCATCATCATCAGCCATAAACACTATCACCATTATCATCACCATTATCATCACCATCTTCATCATCATCATCATCATCATCATCATCATCATCATCATCATCATCATCATCATCATCAGCCATAAACACTATTACTGTTATCATCTTCATCTTTACCATCATCATCATCACCGCTATGATCTCCTGTGTACACATAACCGTCATCATCAGTCATTAACACTATCACCATTATCATCACCATCTTCATCATCATCATCATCATCATCATCATCATCATCATCATCAGCCATAAACACTATCACCATTATCATCACCATCTTCATCATCATCATCATCATCATCATCACCATCATCATCAGCCATAAACACTATCACTGTTATCATCCTCATCTTCACCATCATCATCATCACCGCCATGATCTCCTGTGTTAAGGTTACCCTGCAGCTCCATGAGGTTGAAGTTCTCAGCAGAACATGAGGATGTTCTGACGTTCTGACGTCAGTCTGTCATTTATTTCAAACTTATTTTCTTCTCTCAGAGATGAACTGAAGCTCACATCACTTTACTCTGGACCAGATTTCTCCATACTTCCTGTATCTCATCAGATTGAGAACATCAACATCATCATCATCATCATCTTCATCATACTCATGCATCAGTTTTTCCACAGTCACAGGGACCTTGGTGGGTGAAATCTTCAGCGGGTGTTGGTCTCTGTTTCTAAAGAAGGGGAACATCTTCTCAGCTGAGGTGTGCGGTGAAGTGTGTATGAAGGTGTGGATGTGTGTGTGAGTCTCAGGATCTGAGAACAGCAGCTCTCCTCGGTTACGGTCCAGGGTCACTCTGATCTTCTTAAACGGTCTCTGGACTGTGAGGACAGTTTCTGCATCTGTTGGAGAGAGAGCTTTATATTCTCCATCATGGAACCAGATCCTCCACAGCCCGGACTGTAGGTCCCCTTTCCTGTGGTCAGTCTCTACAAACACCCCCACAGACCAGTCTGAGCTCTCTCCGACCTCCACATTCCAGCTGTGGGACCCTGACTTGAAGCTCTCAGATCCCAGGACTGAACCATCATGAGAGATCCTCTCTGGGTTATCAGGAAGCTGCTGCTCCTCTCCTCGGCTCACAGAGCTCAGATCTTTAGAGAGGAGAACCTCAGGATGAGCAGAGTTTGGATCCAGGATCACAGGACAGTAAGGGGCCAGGTCCCTCATCTTCTTCCAGACTTGGAAGCTCAGGTTGCCCAGATGTTTGGCCTGGTCTATCAGAGCTCCTGAGGGCAGCTGTGGAACCTTCAGCTGCGGTCGCTGCTGGACTCTTCTCACTGCAGCCTTGTAGTTTTTCAGGAATGAGAGGCCTTCAGCTCTCAGCAGGTCCTCTGTGGCTCTGACTGTGTCTGAAAGATCTGCGATCTGTCTGCTCAGAGCCTCCATCTGCTCCTTCATCCTCCGACTCTTCTGCTCCTCTTCCTCCCTCAGTGCAGACAGCCTGGCCTCCTCTTCCTCCTCTAGAAACCGGTGAAGCTTCAGAAACTGCTCCTTAATCCGCCTCTCTGTGAGCCGGGCCTGGACCTCGATGTGTTCAGCTGTTTGATCAAACTTCTCTTTAACCTGTTCAAAGACCTCTAACTTCTCCTTCAAGGGCTTCAGGGTCTCCTGAAGGTTCTCCTTGTGTTGTCGAGCAGCTTCATTGATGGGTCTGAATCTGTGGTCAGCATGGTTCTCGGAGTCTCTGCAGACCACACATGCTGGTTCTTGATCATCCAGACAGAAGAGTCTGAGTTTCTCAGAGTGTAGACTGCAGAGACCCTCTGAAGAAGAACTCGGACCTCTCTGCTGAAGGAAACTCTCACACAGGTTCCTCAAAGCAAAGTTCGGACGTAGGACCTCACTTGAATTTCTCCTCTCACAAACTGGACACTCCCGGGTCTCCTTCTTCTTCCACCAGCTCTGCAGACAGTCTTTACAGAAGCTGTGGCTGCAGGACAGGATGACCGGGTCTCTGAAGATGTCCCTGCAGACCGGACAGCAAAGGTCTTCTTCTAACCGGGACGCCATGGAGTCTCAGAGTGAAGCTTCAGATGCAGCAAACAGACAGCTTGGAGTTGGGTCTGAGCGTCATTCCTTCAGTCAGTGAGTCTCCAGGAAGAATGGTGACCTTTGTCCAGGTTCATCTCAGGTGATTCAGGTGAGGGGGTGGAGAATTATTGCTGCGGCTCCCCAGGATCAAAATCCAAACCATAAAACTGATTTTAATCAACATCAAAAGCACAATGAAGTTTTTCCTTTAGAGAGAAACTAGATCAAGTTGCATGAAACCTTAACCTAGAACACAGTTGAACTACTCCACCACCACAGTACCGGGGAGGACAGACGGACGGACAGACACTGTGATGGTCCAGAACAAACAGACTCAACAGTAGGTGGAGTTACAAAGCTTTTATGAAGGTCATATCAGGGTATTTTCCACGTTTCCTGGATGTCCCACAAGGAAGTTTTTGAACTTGAACAAATTCAGCCTACTTGGGTAACCTGCAGCCTCTTAGTTTCTAACCCCTATTTCAGTGCAGTTATCAGTGTGGGCAACACTGCTGTGATAATGAAGGGCTGCACTGATTGGCTGTCTGGCTAAAAGGGGCGGAGAAACATCTAAACAAGTATGGCGAGCCTGCCAGAGGAACATGACCTAGTGTACCAGGAAACAAGATAATTTAGACTTGCACTTCTTCTCCACATGGAGGACAACTTCAACATTTGATATTTTGTCTTTTATCATCATCACCATTACTATCATTACCATCATCATCATCATTATTATCATTACCATCATCATCACCATCATTATCATTATCATCATTACCATCATTATCATCATTATCATCATTATCATCATTATCATCATTATTATCATTACCATCATCATCATCATCATCATTACCATCATCATCATCATCATTATCATAACCATCATTATCATTACTATCATTACCATCATTATCATCATCATTATCATCATTATCATCATTATTATCATTATTATCATTATTATCATTACCATCATCATCACCATCATTATCATCATTATCATCATTATTATCATTACCATCATCATCATCATCATCATTACCATCATCATCATCATCATTATCATAACCATCATTATCATTACTATCATTACCATCATTATCATCATCATTATCATCATTATCATCATTATTATCATTATTATCATTCATCATTATCATCATCATCATCATCATTACCATCATCATCATCATCATCATCATAACCATCATCATCATCATCATAACCACTCTTATTATTATAATAATCATTTTCACTATATCATCATCATCATCATCATCATTATGTGATCCTCCCTCCTCTTCCACCAGCTCTGCAGACAGTCTTTACAAACCGTACAGCTGAAGTCTTCCTCGAACCAGGACGCCATTTAATCTTGTAATGAATCTGTAGACACACCTACAGTCAGACCCCGTCTTTAGAAGTTTCTTCCACCTTGATTCTTGGTTCTTCAAACAGTCCGGTTTGGTTGGTAGATTCAGTGCTCAAGTGTCCCAGTAATCCCAGTGTGCCCAGTTTCCTCTCCTGCTGCTCTCTGGTTTTAGGACTGAAGTCTGAGCACCCGTCTCATCATGCGTTCGATGATCTCAGTGATGTGAAACAAAACTTGACGCGGTACATTCCAGGTCAGTCAGGGTGAGGGCGGAGCCAAACCCGTAAAGTAACACCGTTAAAAAGAACTGATCCACATCGAAATATCCGTCCACTACTTTCAGAATCTAAAGACAACAACAGTTTGACCCGTTTGGTTGGTCCTCTGTCAGAACTTTGGACCTGTTTGGGTGTTCCTTTAAGAACTTTGACCTCTTTGGTTGTTCCTCTATCAGATCTTTTGACCCATCTGAAAATGTTTTGTTTATGTTAGTCAGCTGACTGTCCTCCAACAGGAATAACCAGAAAGTGAGGGAGGAAGTGATCGGACTGAGCTCAAACTGCAGAGGTCAGACTGAACCAGCAGAGGGCGCCATCGCTCCAAACTTCCAGCTGTGATTACTTGACGCTCCTCTCTTCTCCAGAGGAAGAGGAGGATTAAAAATGTAAGTGATGTCTGCAGGAATCTGATCTCCGCTGACACTCAGTGGAGCAGACTCAGCAGAGGTCAGAGGTCACGTCACGGCGTGTTAGACAGGAGGTGACAGGGAACACCTCAAAGGCAGCAGAGACGCCGAACTGATGAAGACTGCAGCTGGAGACAGTTTCACAGCTTTAAACAGTTTTAAACAGGTAAGACATACTGGTCCTTTAGGTGTGTGTGTGTGTGTGTGTGTGTGTGTGTGTGTGTGTGTCAGACGGTAAATCAGGCTCCAGTTTGAAACAAAAGCCGCGTCTGTTTGTGCGCAGAGTCCCGTCGGCTCAGGCGAGTAAACAGACGGTGCTTTCACTGGGCCTGGCTGTGCTGGGATAATTCAGCGTTTGTCTGCCTGGGTAAACACTCCACACACACACACACACACACACACACACACACACACACACACACACACACACACACACACACACACACACACACACACACACACACAATGACTTGATGTGATTATGATGAATGAATGATTGCTGAGTAATCCGGCCTTTACTGATTTTCTGCTCGTCTGTCCGTCTGTCAGGAGGAACACCAGAACAGGAAGTGTTGGCTGTGGTTATCGCTGCGATGTTCAGATCCGTGATAAAAAAAAAAAACACTGACGGCTTTTAGTCGCACTAATGGATCTGGGTCGATAGAGGAAAGGACAGAGGCCCGGGTTCTATTGATGTCATGGCAGCAAATGGGTTTAAAAGCATCATCGATACGGGGAACGCCAAAACCCCAAAACCAAAAACCTCATCTGTCTGAAACCAAACTGGACAAAAGGGACAAGGACCAGGACAAGGACCAGAACCAGGACTGGACGGTCCTGATTAGGGATGTATCAATTACCGGTAAAATGTCTGACGGTTAGTACGACCGTTAAAACCGTGTTTGATCGCCGCACTCTAGAAAGGCTCACAGTGATACCGCTCAATGTTGAGAAGAGCCGCAGTCCTTCGGACACAGGCGCACTGCACAGTAAACAACTCGTCAACATGGCGGAGGGCAGTTCTGCTGACCGTGTTGCAGAGATTTTTCCGCCGTCAAAGAAAACAAAGTCCGAAGTCTGGGCGTATTTCGGCTTCTACAAAGACGCAGAAGGGACTCTGATCGAGGACGGCCAACCAGTTTGCCGCCAAGGGTGGAAGACTGGGATGTGAATCAGCACCTCCAAGTCCGAGGCCGTGGTCCTCAGTCGGAGAAAGTCAGCAGATTGCTTTCTCTGGGTCAGAGGGGCGGTCCTGCCTGAAGTGAGGGTAGGATGGAGCTGGAGATCGACAGGCGGATCGGAGCGGCGTCAGCAGTGATGTGGACGATTAACCGATCAGTGGTGGTGAAGAAAGAGCTGAGCCGTAAGGAGAGACTCTGGATTTACCGGTCGATCTACGTGCCGATCCTCACCTATGGTCATGAACTTTGGGTAATGAGTGAAAGAACAAGATCGCAGATACAAGCGGCTGAAATGATGTCCTTCACATTTGTTTACATGTGGTTGTTTTGTTTCGTATGGTCGCGTTGCCCTGTTTTATATTTGTAAGAGTACCTGAGGCGACACGTCTCAACTAAGTCCAGTTGTCCTTTCAACAAAGACCTGGAAATCATAGATGCTGCGTCCTAATTTCATCTCTACGACTGGACGTCTGTTGTCGTAGTTGGAGGTCAGACTTTGGGTCTTCAAACGTCTAAAACCACTTCCCTGTTTCATCTGTAGTTCCTGAATCTGCATCACGTCACAGTGAGAGTGAAACCGTCCGCTCTGATGATTCATCATCGACTCTGGGGGAAAACACTGAGGGACTCGCTGACCGTGCAGAACTCTTGGTTTATAAAAGAGAGAGGACGGCGCCATAAATCTACAAAACTGCTCACGTTCGTGTCGTTAACCTTCTCTGCCGCCATCTTTCTCCAACAGAAGCTCCATTCACACACACAGAGGAGGCAGCTGCAGGTCTGTTGATGAATTACCGCCACGTGAAACAAGTGGAGCAGAGCTGAAGGAAGGCCGAGCGTTGGTGCAGAAAGCAGCTGAGGAGCAGCGTTTTCAGCGGCCTATTTCTGGCTGCATACTAAATCATGTACGTCAGAGCCGGGCGCAGAAACCCCTGAGAGATCTGAGGGGAGAGAGTCACACCTGCCCGGGTTCAGAGCGGCTCAGAGAACCAGCAAAGACCCAAGATTCAGGGAGGCTTTTCTGTTTTCAGCTCTGAGGGGACACGTGGACGGACGCCTCGCAGGCCGACAGATGAGCAGAGCTGAACAAAGACAGGATGGCCGGCTGCTCCCAGATCAGAAGAAACAGAAGGAGAGGCAGGCCGCCGCCGCCACCGCCGCCGCCAGCGCTCCTCTTACATAACAACTCGTACCTTCCTGAACCACCATCCTGCTGCAGTCCAACATCACGCAACCCCGTCCACAGAGCCGGTCCAGCTGCTAACAACACAGTCAGGACCACAAACACCAACCAGAGGACCAGAACAGGAACCGGGCCAGTTAGAACTTTCCATTTAAGAAGGTCCAAACAGTCCTAAACTTCAGTTTGAACCCCTTTGGTTCTGTGACACGTCTGAGTCAGCAGGAAAACTTTTCAGGAAAATCATAAAAAGGAGTAAACCTATTTTTGTTCACATGATTCTGTTATTTTCACTTCAAAAAGAACCAAAGCTTGTTAAAAAAAACAGATCGACAGTCAAACTTTTGACCCCAGAGAGTCAGGAGAGAGAGAGAGCAGCTGTGGTCGAGTTACATAGAGATGAAGGAAAGAGAGAGAGAGCGAAAAACAGAGCAGTAAAACAGAAAATAAAAAACTTGATCAGTTTCCTAAATGTTGTTCTGAGTTTATAAAAACTGTTTCTGAATCTGCAGCTTTTACAGACAGGAACTAAAAAACAATATTTAACATTTAAAGGTTCCCTGGAACATTTTTGAGTTTCAGAAAGATACGGTGGCCCTGAAGGTCAGCAAGAAAATCAGTTCATGAACACAAAAAATAAAACTCTATAAAAAACAAAAAATGAAACTCAAAAATATTTTGATTTGTATTATAGTTTATAAGTCGAGCATTTTGTAAAACCTGTTTGTTTAAATATTTTTCTATTGGGTAAAATTTCTCAGATTCCATAAAAGTTTTTGTTTTGTAAATTTTTTAAACACTTTTTGGGGTTCATGAAATATTTTTGTTTTCTGTATTTTTTAAATTTTCATCGGTTGTTGAAAGATATTAGAGTTGGGTTGATGACTTTTATTTTCTGCATTATATTTGATAAAAATTTGTGCAGACCCAAAAATATTTTTACTGACATTTTTTTTTCATTGTAAAAAATGTTCTTTCATTTTTTAAGAAGATTTTGCATTTGATGTATTTTCCTTTTTGATAGTTTATGGTACATTTTTTAATTTTAAATTTTTTTTGGGCCTCAAAATATTTTTTAATTTAATTTAATTTAATATTTTTCTGTTTAAATATTATTGAATTTGGTCGAGTGTTTTTCAGGGCTTTTCTGAATTTTATTAAATATTTTTTTATTTCTACAGAATATTTTTATTGTGTTCTTGTTTTAACTTCTGGTCCGGTGATGACTCCAGCAGCAGAGAAAAACTAATAAAAAGGAGAGGATGGTTGTCAGCTGATCGAAGCGCTGGTATTTAAGCCTTTTTGAAGCTGAGTTTTCCACGCCCCCTTACACACCCTCGAATGTCTCGGCTCACATGTTGACCTTTACAGCAACCTCACACACACACACACAGTCAGGACGTTAAAGACCTCCTCCGTCTCTGACCACGTAAACATCATGAGAGCGTCACAGACTCGATGAGCGGCGGCGGCGGATCTTTCTCTGAAGTTCAACATTTCATAGTTTAGAGATGAATCCAGCTGTAGCGGCGGCGGTGGTCCACAGGAAGTCCTCTCTGCCGCCTCCCTGCCCGCAGAGACCGGGGGATAAAGCTTCTATATTTGTCCGGAGCGCTGGGAGAGCTGGACCCGGTGAAAGGTCAGAGCGCGTACAAAACAGGCGGGCTGGACCAGGAGGTGGACTCTGGTCTGATGACTGTTAGTGATTTAGATTTACTGACCTTTAACCTCCAAACACACAATTAGACTCTGACATATTCACAGGAGTGTGAGTGCACACGCTCAGATTTCTGACCTTTAACCTCTGTAATAAACAACAGTGAGGGCTCTGACTGTGTTACTGTGTGACTACGGGGTCTGACCCCCCCGATAAGGTCCAAAACAACACAAGACCCCCGTCCTAAAACCGGCTCTGACTGAATCTATAGACTGACTGTGTTCAGGTACTTATGAGCAAGGAACTGCACCTGCAGAGGGCGCTACAGGAGAAACAGATCAGACATATTGCTTTACTGATAGGAGGAAATCGAGCTGGTTTACCAAAGCTCAGTGTGTGTGTGTGTGTGTGTGTGTGTGTGTGTGTGTGTGTGTGTGTGTGTGTGTGTGTGTGTGTCTCAGGTGTTGTGGGGGTGGTGTAGGCGGGTGTGAAGGGAAACCCGACTCCGGCCAAACCTCCGCTGGGAATGTCTGAGAGCAGGGGAGAGTCCACCACCTGTCACACACACACACACACACACACACAGATCTACAAAATGCTTTTCATGCCTCTGAGGTTCCACACACTGACCGACCGTGTTCAGACCTCATGTTGACGGTTCATATTCACAGAAGTAGGAGAACGAGGCAGGTGTGTGTGTGTGTCTGTGTGTGTGTGTGTGTGTGTGTGTGTGTGTGTGTGTGTGTGTGTGTGTGTGTGTCTGAAAAGCAGAGGGACGAGACCGCAGCGATCGGTACCAGCAGCCGAGTCTTCAGGAGGTTTGGTTAACGCTCTAACCCCCGACCTCCACCTTCATCCTGATCGTCTCCTAAAAGGTCGTATCCTCCGATCGTAGCTGATCGTAACCATTCAAGTTAACGTGTCAATTTACTCCGACTTCTTTCCGTTCCTCTGCAGATCGCCGGACTCCTCAGCTGATCACAAGAGTTCTAGTTTTTCCGTTTCAGTGATTCGCTTTTCAGTTCCTCTTAAAACATCCTGTCCTGCAATCCGTGCAACGACACCAGAGCCAGTTTAACTTTTGGGACTTCGTTAAACTTCATTATCCTCAACATGAACACATTTGGTCAGGTCTTACTGGTCTCTGAGGGTCCGAGCGTGATGGAGAAGGAGGAGGAGTCAACATGTACGATGACCTTTCTACAACATATAGACGGCGAGAGACAAACGCTGGTCCTCGTCAACGTCGTCGCCCCTCCCACCAAAAATCGCGGCCATTACAGATTTGTTGGATCTTCAGTGAAAGACGCCAACTCCTTCAGTTATTGGTCTACAGATCTGTTTCCTGGACGTGATGAGCGACTCAAGGTTTCATCTAAGGATGATGAAAAAACACGACGACGTGTTCAAGAGGATTTTATCGGATTATTTTCACGTTTATTCTGCATCGCACAACTTTAATTTTCCAGGTTTTTCCAGGAAATTCAGGTCTTCAATGCAGAAGGATTTACAGTCTGACAGGTTCTCACACACACACACACACACGTATAAACAGGCTAACAGAGGCTGCTTTGTCTGTCGACCTGCATACTCCCCAGTGCTGCACGCAGGTCTGGTCTCCATGGAAACCAGTAAACAAAGCAGGTTTCCTCCTATCAGAGCGCGGTTACATCATCAGGGCTTTATCAAGATGGGACCATTGAACAGGAAGGGGGGGGGCATGGAGAGAACAGAGAGAGGGGTGTGTCGCTGAGACTGACCCAGTGCAGATAACACACACACACACACACACACACATGCACACACACACACACAGCTTTTATCTGTGGACGTGTCGTTGTGTTCAGGCTCAGACTATCACCTGTTGTGTTGTCGTTGTCTAGTTTAGCTAACGATGCTAACAACAACAACAAACACCAGAGGCGACTTTCTGACTGTTTGGCGGTCTCAGGTGTGATGTCATCACCAGCTACATCATCCACCTTCTGAAGTCAACAGGAACGTAAACAGAAACATGAACAGCCAGGAGAGGGCGCTCACCACAGTCATCAAACACCAAACCCTGAGTCCTACATATTTCCAAGATTTCTATGATCTACACCGATTACCTACAGGTGTTCTGTTATAGATGAGGAGCACCTGTCTGTCTGTCTGTCTGTACAAAGTCTCAGTTTCTCTGTATGCGTCTCAAAAAATGCTTTCTTCTACTGTATTTGTACCTGCTGAGTCTCAGTTTCACTGTATCGACCTCAAGTAGCTCTCAAATTTAACGTATCTGAGTGTCAGGAGAGTCAGAGTTTCACTGTGTCTCTTTAGTCCCAGTTTCAGTGTCCCACTTTAGTCCCAGTTTCAGTGTGTCTCTCTTAAGTCCCAGTTTCAGTGTGTCTCTCTTTAGTCTCAGTTTCAGTGTGTCTCTCTTTAGTCCCAGTTTCAGTGTGTCTCTCTTTAGTCCCAGTTTCAGTGTGTCTCTCTTTAGTCTCAGTTTCAGTGTGTCTCTCTTTAGTCCCAGTTTCAGTGTGTCTCTCTTTAGTCTCAGTTTCAGTGTGTCTCTCTTTAGTCTCAGTTTCAGTGTGTCTCTCTTTAGTCCCAGTTTCAGTGTGTCTCTCTTTAGTCCCAGTTTCAGTGTGTCTCTCTTTAGTCCCAGTTTCAGTGTGTCTCTCTTTAGTCCCAGTTTCAGTGTGTCTCTCTTTAGTCTCAGTTTCAGTGTGTCTCTCTTTAGTCCCAGTTTCAGTGTGTCTCTCTTTAGTCTCAGTTTCAGTGTGTCTCTCTTTAGTCTCAGTTTCAGTGTGTCTCTCTTTAGTCTCAGTTTCAGTGTGTCTCTCTTTAGTCCAGTTTCAGTGTGTCTCTCTTTAGTCTCAGTTTCAGTGTGTCTCTCTTTAGTCTCAGTTTCAGTGTGTCTCTCTTTAGTCTCAGTTTCAGTGTGTCTCTCTTTAGTCTCAGTTTCAGTGTGTCTCTCTTTAGTCTCAGTTTCAGTGTGTCTCTCTTTAGTCTCAGTTTCAGTGTGTCTCTCTTTAGTCCCAGTTTCAGTGTGTCTCTCTTTAGTCTCAGTTTCAGTGTGTCTCTCTTTAGTCCCAGTTTCAGTGTGTCTCTCTTTAGTCCCAGTTTCAGTGTGTCTCTCTTTAGTCCCAGTTTCAGTGTGTCTCTCTTTAGTCCCAGTTTCAGTGTGTCTCTCTTTAGTCTCAGTTTCAGTGTGTCTCTCTTTAGTCCCAGTTTCAGTGTGTCTCTCTTTAGTCTCAGTTTCAGTGTGTCTCTCTTAAGTCCCAGTTTCAGTGTGTCTCTCTTTAGTCTCAGTGTGTCTCTCATTAGTCTCAGTTTCAGTGTGTCTCTCTTTAGTCTCAGTTTCAGTGTGTCTCTCTTTAGTCTCAGTTTCAGTGTGTCTCTCTTTAGTCTCAGTTTCAGTTTATATCTCTTTAGTCTCAGTTTCAGTGTGTCTCTCTTTAGTCCCAGTTTCAGTGTGTCTCTCTTTAGTCTCAGTTTCAGTGTGTCTCTCTTTAGTCTCAGTTTCAGTGTGTCTCTCTTTGGTCTCAGTTTCAGTTTGTCTCTCTTTAGTCTCAGTTTCAGTGTGTCTCTCTTTAGTCTCAGTTTCAGTGTGTCTCTCTTTAGTCTCAGTTTCAGTGTCTCTCTTTAGTCCCAGTTTCAGTGTGTCTCTCTTTAGTACCAGTTTCAGTTTATATCTCTTTAGTCTCAGTTTCAGTGTCTCTCTTTAGTCCCAGTTTCAGTGTGTCTCTCTTTAGTACCAGTTTCAGTTTATATCTCTTTAGTCTCAGTTTCAGTGTGTCTCTCTTTAGTCTCAGTTTCATTTAAAATGAAATTCTGACGTTTCAGTGTGAAGCAGAAGTTAGTCGTTGACAGATGTGACGTTTAATAATCAGACTGGAATCACTTCATCGTAAACTCAGGTTTTTAAAAAAACTAAATCCAGAATTTGTCAGGTCTGTCTACGAGGAAACAACAAACTAACTGAAGAGTTTTTACTGTTTCAGCAGCAGAATCATGAAGTCAACATGATTTAAGTGTTTTGGGTTAAACTCTCTGAATAAATCTGAAGATCATGGGAGTCCAGAGAGGAGGACGTGTTAAAGCTGCTATGATGATGATGATGATGATGATGATACAGGAGAGACAGAGAGAGGACGGTCTTCTCCTTCTTCTCCTCACAGAGTCCCTGAGGATCAGCCTGCAGCTCTGACTCTCTCTGAGGTGTTAAACGGGCTGAGAGGAGCTTTTGTCTGAGGCAGGAAATTACAGCAATTAACAGACAGACAGAGAAAAAGAGGTTTTTATCAAACAAAGCTTCTGTTCAGCAGCGTCCTGTCAGGATCTCTGCTGGGAAACAGCCTGTCAGGACCTCCATTATCTGTCTGTTTCCTGTGAAAACCCCCCATTTAAGAATAGAAACCTGTTTAAACTGAAGGTTTCATACTGAGAGTCACTTAGCACCAATAAAAAAGTGAGAAAACGACAGAAGAAAACCTTGAAGACGGATTAAAAACAGTCTCTCTGTGAGCTGAGTCTCTGTTTTCTCTCCGCACTGAAGATCAGACCTCGGGGCGGACTATCAGAGGTTTGATTCATGATGGAAGTAATCGATGGACACAGCTGGAGTTTTTTTCTCAGTAAATCTGAAGGATGAGAAGAATCAGGAACAAATCTGAGATACAAAAACAAAGTCGTAAAAACGCCCAACAACACCGACTAAAACAACCTTCAGACGATCACATCCAGCAACAATAAAACACCTGTGACAGTCTAAATGAGGAAGAAAGAGCTGCAGGTCCTCCAGTGTCCACTAGAGACAGTGTCCCACAGTGAGTCAGCTCCCACAGAGCCCCGTGTTGAAGCAGAAACAGTCAGATTTGGAGCGAGCAGGTTTCTGTGATTTATGGTGAGGGAAGTCTGCGACTCTCCGCTCTCCGCTCGCTCACACGCAAACATCAACACTATTCTGGAAACGCTCCTCTCCAGCACGCCACTTAAAGAGACACTGCGGGATTTTAGGAGGTCATTTTAGGAAACAGGAAGAGCTGATCCTGAACTTCCTCCCTCCTCCGATCTCCTGCAGTCATCAGTGAACGGAGCAGAAAATCACATCATCGTCCGTCTGATGGATCAGGGTCCACTCTGCATCTGAACGTCTCTTTATCACAGACAGAGCTCACATTTCTCTGCAGACGAGGACAGAGAGAGTGCAGAGTCATGTCTGAAACCTCTCTATCAGACAGACAGTAGAGGGCGCTGCAGGAGGTAAACCAGGACCAACAGACCTTTATCACGTGACGAAAACAAGACGAGACGAGACGTAAATGGTGGTCTTGTGATGTTGACTATAACTAAATATATAAACAATAATGTTGACAAATAAAAACGAGATGAGATGTGGATCAATAAATAAAAACTCTGATAAATTGTCTCTTTATTTTCATGGACTAAAACGAGACGAAATCGTTCAGTCGTGTTGTTTCTGTTTTCTGTTTTCTTGATGACGTCACGTCCTCAGTCCTCTAACTCGCCGTATTTTTAGATGTGGTGGGCAGAGGCGGTCTGCGGTGAGTTGGAGTCATGGCGAGAAAAATAAGAAATGATATCTGGACCAGGGCTCGATGGATATGGATATGGATAGATAAAGTATACTGTAGATAAAACAGGCCGACAAACACAACAGTTCAGCCCGTCTCTTTATGGCGCTCTTATCATCAGACATTAGACTCTGTGTTTCTCCGTCCTCCATCATGGCGGCTCCTCGCCGTCTGCAGTGACGCTCTCTCTTTAATATTTAAACGGGCTGACTACGACTCGCTCTACAACATTTGCATCTATAAGGCAGATTCTCGCACTCAAGTGTCAATCATGGCAGCTGAGGGTGGGAGGAGTCTGGGGGAGGTGGGGGTCTCAGGGGTCAAAGGTGAAGGACTGTGTCACCTCGTATCAGGCTGACAGGAAGAGAGGGAAAACTATCAGGTCATAAAAAACAACATAATCATTGAATCACAGGACACCTTCAACAGGCGCCAAAGTTCACGACCACAAAGACCACCTGTTCGACCGTGAACCTCTCCTCCTGTAACCCCCACACCTGATGATACCTGAGCAGGTCTCCCAAGTCTGTTCACAGACCAGATTCAGGAGGGTTTGAAGACAAAAACAACAAAGGTGAAACCTGCCGGAGTCGGTCCTTTAAACACGTTTCTGTCCTCGGAGTGAACCCTTCAGAGGAACAGCAGAGAGAGGTTTTCTCAGGAGGTTCCTCTGGAGACCAGCACTGAGTTTACCCCGAAACTGAGACCAAACAATCGAGTCTGGACTAAAGAGGACCGACAGGGCGGCCCGTGGGGTCGTCGTCCTGCAGCAGCTGCAGCTCTGAAAGGTTAATGAGGAGCTTTTAGAGACTGCAGGAGACATTTACATACAAAAGACACACACACACACACACACACACACCTCCTTTGGTATGCAGGAACCGCCTGCTCGGCCTCTGGGTCAGCCTCACACACACACACACACACACACACTCACACATATTTGGGTTAATTAGTCTCCAATTAGCAGTGACTTCATTTTCACATGGAAATTTAGAGTGAGAGCAGAAGGCTGAATCAGGCCTCTGTCTGAGTGTGTGTCTGTGTGTGTGTGTGTGTGTGTGTGTGTGTGTGTAGAGAAGTGAGAGTGCTGTGGTTTTTTACTTCCCAGCATGCACTCTGTCCCCTGGAAACATTCATAGTAGTTCTCTGTAGGAGTTTCCCTGAACTAAAAGAGTTTGAAGAACTCTGACGGTGAAAAACAGAAACTCCAGATCAGTGTTTACTGAGCTGACGGACTCACATGATCAACGAGGATCAAAGATATACAACCAACGACGCAAACTCTAACACTACGTTCAGACTGCAGGTCAGTTCTGATTGGTTCTGATCCGACCCAGGCCTCTTCTGTATGTGGATATAAATCAGATATGTATCTGATGTGACTGCAGTGTGGACGCTCAGGTCGTGTTCATCCGACCTTTACATCATCAATATGAGACAAACGTCACCATTGTTCGACACAAACAGGCGCAGAGAGCAACTTGTGGGTCACTTCACCGACGCATTCATTGTTGTGAATGTGAACGACCGCACAAAAAGATCGGATTTAACAAAAAATCCGACTTGTGCGTCAGAACCTGCAGAGTGAATGTAGACAAAGTTTAAAAAGCTGCAGTTCCTCCAGTGTCCACTAGAGGCTGTCCTCCAAAGTGAGTCTCTCTCCATAGAGCTCCATGTTAAAACTTTAAATTAAAGGTGTTTTTCTGCCTCTGCATCCATCCTCCTCAGACTCAGGCAGCCAATAATCTTCATCAGATTAAGATGATAATTTGAGGATTTTCATGCCTGTATATCGTGTACAAACCTGTATTTTGTTAAACTCTATATATTGTATATTTTGATTACTTGATTATTTCCTCTTCTTTCCACTTTATTCACACTGGAGTTACTGAAGCTAAAAGCATTTTCCCCCTGAGATGATTAAAGTATTTCTGATTCTGATACGGGACGGTCCTCACAGTCGGATTAATCCGTTTTTTACTCAGCGGCCTCCTGAGAAGAATGACGCAGGTCCTGATTTATTTAAGAACAAAAACACGAAGAGGAAGAAGAAGAAGAGGAGGAAGAGGAAGAGGAGGAGGAGGAGGACAGCTGCTGTGGTTATTAATGCAGAGGCATGTTTATTATTTTATCTCTTCTCTCTCCCCAACTGCATCATGGGACACGTGGTTCGATGGGTTTATAAACGCTCACAGTGTTGGATGGTTATTGGACGGACAGTCGACTCTGTCTGCGTGTTCACAGCTGTTTTAAACTCGACGGACGCCATCAGTCCGACATGATGAATCACAGGTTAAAGCTCGCCATCATCTGATAAACCTCCTCCTCCTCCTCACATGACCACATTTCCCATAAACCCCTGCTTCAGAGAGATGAAATTAAATCTTCTGGTTACACAATCGCTGCTTTTAAATTTACAGGGAGGGACGGCTGAGCGCTCGGGTGATCGTGGCACGCCGCCGCCGGGGCTGCTGGGAGCCGACAGATAACATGGATCATCACTGAGTGAGGTGATTGATGACTGCAGAGAGACTACACACACACACACACACACACACACACACACTACAGAGGAACAAACCAACTTCCCTGTCACATGATATTCATCTAAAACTGTCAGAGCGTTTACAACCACGTCCTCCATTAGAACATCACACACGGCGTGAAGTCAAGGGTCAGAGGTCAACAACCACGAACATATATTCCTGCGTTACCCAGAATCTGTTCTTTAATCTCACAGAAGAGGTCACTTTGCTGCAGACTGGATGGAAAAGACCGAAACAAAAAAAAACGGTTTGGGCGAGCGGCGTGAGCGATGTCTGGACTCTGCAGGAGAGGGTAAGCGGGGTAACGGCGGGGTAACGGCGAATAAGGCTCCTGAGGTTAACGACAGAAGATGTTTCCACGGATCACAGATCTGAATGTAAAAACAGTCGTCATCATCCTGTCGGTCTCAGTTCACTCATGTTGGAAATATTAGACTCGGGTTTTAGATCTCATGTCCCAGACTCAACTCTCCACCTGCCAATCAAACCCCTGACCCACCAGGAGGAGGCGCCACACCAGAGACTCGCACATATTTACACTCCTGTAGTCATATTGATCTCATTGAAGTTCAACTCTTCATCGATTCTCTGATCACTTCCTGTACAAGTTTGATCACGTCTATAACCTTCACAGCTGATAAGAAGAAACCTGGGTTTTTGATTGGTCCTTTAAGGATCAGCCACTCACAGATACAGCCTCTGATTGGTCAACAAATCAAAGCAAAGACGGCACAGACCCCCTTCCTGACCTCCAATCTCCACCTTCATCCTGATCGTCTCCTAAAAGGTCGTATCCTCAGATCGTAATCGGACGGCAAAGATCGCTTCTGTTGCGGATCGGAGCCGTTCTGGATGCGGTGGAAATTCCGGGTTACTCTGAGCTCCTCTGTGGGACGGAGAAGCTCGTGAACGTCACAGAAACACTCACAGAAAAGCTGCCGTCCTCACACAGTGAGTGGATTTCACAGGAAGTCAGGACGTCACACCGGTTTATTTTAGAGCTGAGGATGTGAGCGGAACAACATGGAGCTGTTTGTGGTTTGGACCGGGCCTGTCGGTTCTGTTTCTGTTAGTTTCATGAAGATGTTTCGATCATGGCGGCGGGGTGAGTCAGATCTAATCTAGGTGTGCTCAGAGCCACATTTCTGATGGTTTCTGGATCTCGAGTTAGAAAGAGTCAGTCAGACAGTCCAGCTGAGTCTCTACTGCATCACTGTCAGCTCCGCATGAAGACACACATTCATTATCGTCGGGCTCACAGCATTAGCTCTGCACATCATGAGACGTTCTAGTGGAAAATTCAATTAGCATAACTTAACCTTCAAACTGGCGGCTTGACTGAGCGTTACACCGTCTGAGCGAGAGAGAGAGAGAGAGGAAATCTCTGTGTGAAGGAGCTGCAGGCGGACTCAGGGTCTCCATCAGGACAAAGAGGAGTCAAACAAAGAGAGGGTTCCCTCAGGAAACACTTCCTGTTCGGGAAACCACAGCCAGGAAGACGGCGGAGCGAGCGGCAGAGTCCATCAGAGACCGGGACTAAACTGCACATGACACGCAGCTCTGTTCTCGCCATGAGGGAGTTATAAATACATCCTCCACAAACACGCCGATCATGGTGCAAGAAACACGCAAACATGTCCCTGTGAGTGACAGCGTAAAAAACACGATAAACGTTAAAACACACGGTTTACGCCGATCATATTAAAGTTAACTCTTTAACATGTCCCTGTGCGTGACGGCGTTAAAACACACGATTAACACTAAAACACACGATCAACGCCGATCATGTTCAAAGAAACACGTAAACATGTCGTCAAAATACGATAAACGCCGATCATGGTCAAAGAAACACGTAAACATGTCGTCAAAATACGATCAACGCTGATCATGGTCAAAGAAACACGTAAACATGTCCCTGAGCATGTTGGTGTAAAAATACACGATTAACGTTAAAACACACGATAAAGATTAAAATACGATGAACGCCGATCATGTTCAAAGAAACACGTAAAAATGTCGTCACAATACGATAAACGCCGATCATGGTCAAAGAAACACGTAAACATGTCGTCAAAATACGATCAACGCCGATCATGGTCAAAGAAACACGTAAACATGTCGTCAAAATACGATCAACGCCGATCATGGTCAAAGAAACACGTAAACATGTCGTCAAAATACGATCAACGCCGATCATGGTCAAAGAAACACGTAAACATGTCGTCAAAATACGATCAATGCCGATCATGGTCCAAGAAACACGCAAACATGTCCCTGTGAGTGACGGCGTAAAAAACACGATAAACGTTAAAACACACGATTTACGCCGATCATATTAAAGTTAACTCTAAAACATGTCCCTGTGAGTGACAGCGTTAAAACACACAATTAACATCAAAACACACGATTAACGCCGATCATGTTCAAAGAAACACGTAAACATGTCGTCAAAATACGATCAACGCCGATCATGGTCAAAGAAACACGTAAACATGTCGTCAAAATACGATAAACGCCGATCATGGTCAAAGAAACACGTAAACATGTCGTCAAAATACGATAAACGCCGATCATGGTCAAAGAAACACGTAAACATGTCGTCAAAATACGATTAACGCCGATCATGGTCAAAGAAACACGGACCTTATTTTCTGATCGGACCGTACCTGAGGATCCAGACCGAGAAACTGGTCTGGGCTAAACTTTCTTAGACCTGGACCCGGGTTCTGGTCTGTTCATGTGGTTCCGGGACTAAAACAGAACAGGAGACCAGAGATCGAGACCAAGAGTCTCCTAAGGATCCTGGTCTCAGTCTCCTCTGACACACCTGAGGGTCTGGTCTTGGTCTTGGTCCCCCTCTTACACATAGTTGGGTCTTTGTAACCCTGCACAAAAACCTGAACCCAGAGTAAACCAAAGTCGTCTCTCCTACCGGACTCTGTGGTCTCAGGCTCGTCCCTGATGATCCTGCTGATCCTCCTGGAGAAGGAGGTGATGAAGCTGCTGATGGAGTGGGCTCTCCGGTCTTCGTTTCCCCCCACAGTCCCCTTTAAGTCACCCGGTTCTGACATGGACCTGAAGTAGGGGAGAATCCTGCCCCGAGACCTGGTCCTGGGCTGCTCCTCCTGGCCTGTGGGGGTCTCTGGGACTGAGTGGAACCTGGAGAGGGTAAACATCCGCAGGTGAGGACCCTCCCTGTGGTGCCCTCGACCCTCAGGAGGGGCGGCCATCTTTGCTGTCCTTGGCGCCAGGCAGGCAGAAGTCCTCCACTTGTACCGGTCCAGTGGAGCGGGCTGGGGGTCCGACCTCTGACCGCGCTTCCTGTAACGATGCCAGCTATACGAGGCCTCACAGGGACCCTGGACCGGACCCTGGCAGCCCTCAGAGGGGGTTCCACTTTCACTCATGCTCAAACACACGCTGACTTCCTCCTCCAGACAGCCGCGGCGAGCAGACGGAGGCGCAGAAACAGCTGGTACTCTGACAGCTGTGGTCCAACACGGACATGTTCCTCCAACGACACGTTCAGGTCCAGAGAGCGAGGACTCAGGAGGACCCGTCAGACCGTCTTCATGTCGGTTCAGAGTCTCTGTCAACAGGCTGGTGACTGTCTTCCTGACAGGAAGTGAGCGTCGGGTAAAAATCGGGCCAATCAGGTTTCACCAACGCTAAAAGCGGCAGACTGTGGTTTCCCCTGTGAGCAGTCTGAAACCAAAACCACCTTCAGTTCAGAGAGTCGGACTCGTTTCCTCAACTGTCTGCAGAACAACAAGTGGCACTGAAGACGAGCCGGTGTGCAGGTCCCCGTTTCTGGACCGGTTCTGGTGGTTTCAGGTCTTTACTGGGTTTACAGCTCAAGTCTTGAAGTCCTCTGCAGGTTTGATGATGTTCCCATTAAGGCTGAATGATACTGGAAAAAACCAACATTGTGATTTTTTTCACCCCTGCTGTGATATTTATCACGATATTAAAAGATGGAGGAGTTTTCATCACAAGACCTGAATCTGAGTTTCTGCTGAAATCTTGAGGACAGTTAACCTGCTCTGATCTGAACCAAAATAATTCAGGATAACTGACTTTGATTTTCTTTATAAGTCTTCAACTTCGGTGGTTTTTTCTTGTCCGTTTCTCATTTTGTGTTTGTTGTTGTTGTTACCGATGTTGTGATGAGAAACGCATGCCCACCAAGAATTGCATCCACCTCACGGAAACGCACCACTTATCGTAGAGTGGTCCACGGAAATGTAAAACTTAAAACCCACACAGTTCTTATTTGTAGGAAAAAACGGTGATGAGGAATGATCCCAAAGTCATTCTCAGCGGACATCCATTTCTTGGCTCAACTAGCGACTCCCTCCATGTGCAGGGGCGTGGTTTCCTCCTCTCTGGTTTTGATTGACAGCTGGCAGGTTAGTCTGATTGGCAACTGAGTAAAGAACGATTGTGATTGGTGGATCGCTGCACACGCAGAGTCACATGTCAGTGTATCTCAGTCAGCTACCTTTGAAATTAGACGAGTTCATTCTCCTCCGACATCGCAGGCTCTGACATGTGACTATCACGCACACGTCCATCGCCATGACGATGATCAAACCATATACCGTGCAGGCCTAGTTCCCGGGTCTGAATGAAGTTCAGCTGCACAGCGGGGGTTCTCACAGAGGGGTGAGGAGGTCAAACCTCTGAGCTCTAAGAACTCTGGGAGATTATAAATATTCACAAACTCACAGATCGACCCGCTCCGTCCGTGTTCAGACAGGAAACAGGAGCGGCGTCCTACAGGGAGGAGATGGACGCCGCCGCTCTGTCGGCTGCAGGTTTGAAACTCCAGAGGAGAGGAGAGGAGGTGATTCACATGTAGATGAGGGGAGGGGCTTTTACTTTCAGCTGTCAATCACCCAGACGAGTGAAAAATGACACCTAAGCTCAGAGGTCACACAAGTGTCCGCGGCAACACCAGGTCAAAGGTCGCCAGGACTCCAGGATCAGCAGCACAGACTGGAAACACACGAGAACTCGACCCTCCAAAAGGTGCTGGACCGAGATCCACAAACACCGAGGAGAACCGGGTCAGACTCACGGATGTGGACTCCACACTGACGGTGTTTCTGACCCAGAAAGGTGATCAGTGTTATCAGTTTATTATCAGATTATCTTTATTGATCCCTGATCAGTTCACCAGCCGCTCACAGAGAGATAAAGAACAATCAGAGAGGAACTAAACGGACTCTGTTCAGACCCGGGTCCTCATAAAACTCAGCCTGACCCCACACTGAGCTCACCTGAACAAATCTTTAATTATCACTGATCACTTTATCTCCTTAATCAAATATGATCAATACAAAAATCATCTTTTCAGATTCTTTCTTTGGTCTAACCTCAGGAGGAACTAAATCTGCTGACAGAGAAAAACAGGAAGTCTCCTGATTTCACTCGGTTCTGATTTTTCTGTTTTTACTTTTTATTTCTTTTAATTATTATTGATATTTAAAATCTCTTATATTTTTTTCTGCTCAATTTTTACTCTTTTTTAAATTAGAATTTTTATTCCTTTTCATTTATTTGCTTTTTTGTTTTTTTCTTCTTTTTTTGCCTTTTCTGTTTATTTTTCTCTGTCTTCTTTTTTGTCTATTTTCCTTTTTTTCTCAATAATTTTCCATGTTTTTCTTTCATGTTTCTTTTCATTTTTTTTTTTCTTAAACAGTTTTTTATTTCCTTTCCTTTGTTAATTTTTCCTTTTTTCTCAGTAATTTTTCACGTTTTTCCTTCATGTTTCTTCTCGTTTATTTCTTCCTCTATTCTTAAACAGTTTTTATATTTTTGTGTTGTTTTTTATTTCCTCTCTTACTTTAATTTCTCCTTTTTTTTGGGTAGTTTTTCAGGTTTTTCTTCCATCTCCTTACTTGTTTATTTCTTCCCTTCCTCCTAATCAGTTTTTATATTTTTGTGTTATTTTTATCTTCTACTCTTTGTTCTTTTTTCCTATTTTTTCTTCTCTCTTTCATGTTTTTCTTCCATCTCTTTACTCGTTTATTTCTTCCCTTCCTCCTAAACAGTTTTCATATTTTTTGTGTTGTTTTTATTTCCACTCTTTGTTCTTTTTTCCTTTTTTTCTTCTCTCTTTCATGTTTTTCTTCCATCTCTTTACTTGTTTATTTCTTCCCTTCCTCCTAAACAGTTTTTATATTTTTGTGTTTTTTTATTTTCTATTCTTCGTTAATTTTTCCTTTTTTTTCTTCTCTTTTTCATGTTTTCTTCCATGTTTCTCCTCGTTGGTTTCTCCCCCGTCTTCTTGTTTGTGCATTAAAAGACTCGCTGACCCGGCTGACCCACATGTCAGTATTTATTGGATAAAGACTCGGCTGGAGTCCAGCACGAAGCTGCATGTAGGTCAGAGCTTAGACCCGGGCCGGCTAAGCCCAGAAGTCCAGGACCAGGCCAAGTCCTCCTCAGTCCGCAGGGACTCTGTCTGTTTATGAAGATTTCCTGAAAATGCACAGGGACGTTTTTATCGTCTCGTTTCACTGAAGGAAACACTGAAACGTTATTTTATCGAGCGTCCGGAGAGCAGCGAGGTGTGAAACGTCTTCCTCAGCTCACAGATCAGCTGACTGTCTTCACACCTGCAGCCTCACCTGGGAACCTCTGAACCAACAGGAGGAGGAGTCGGCGAGTCCTCGGTCTGATCTCTCTGGATCTGAACCTCCTCGGTCTGGACCGCAGTGATTCATGACGTTAAAATTTCATATTTCTCCAGGTTAATGTGGGTCAAAGGGTACAGAGGGTCGGGGTGTGGGACTCTGACACAACCTGAAATCTGGAATCTGAGTTATTTCCTGGCTCTGCGCCGGTCAGGAGGCGCGGCGAACATTCCTGCAGGACAGAGAGGAAGCGACGTGAGAGGACGGAGGAAGAGGAAGTCATTCAGGTGGAAACTGGCAGGAGGAGGAGAGGTGAAGCACGACAGCAGAGACTGAAACTTTAAAACCGCTCCTCCATTAGACGCCACTTTGTCCGCTCCTCGTCTCCATCCCGCCGGAAACCAGGAGCAGCTAAAAATAACCAGAGAGGGGGACCAGGCCCTCGGGAACCCTCAGGGACAGTCTACACTCAGATGTCCTCGCCGAGACCACGACCAACGTCACACAGACATAAAACAGGAAGTTCAAACTCAGAGGAGGTCACCGTGAAGAGGGGACGAATCAGCTCGACCCTGAGTTTAGGTCGACTTCATCAGAGCGAGTTTTTAACAACGAGAGAACCGAACACGACAGATCGGTTTGATGTAACCTCCTCCTCCTCTTCCTCTTCCTCCTCGTCTTCGTCCTCAGCGGCGTGTTTTTCCACTCCACGTCCTGAAATAGCCGGCAGCTTATTTCTGTCCGCAGTAGCCGGACTCTTGTTTTGTTTCAGAGGAGGAAATCCTGTCCCAACGCCCCCCATCCTGAGAGGAACTTTCCATTTCCTCCTCCGACCGGCCTCCATTGTCCCCGAGACCACAACACACACCTGAACCTGCTCACCTGCACCCGCCCCACCCACAAACAACCTCCAACTTCCACCGCTTCAGACCTTTTGAAGCGTGGCGGTTTTATGAGAGGAAAACTGAATCTGGGAGGTTACACACACAAACAC